TGATTCATAGCTGACATAAAATTTAATTTATAATAATGTTATTTATATAAACTACAGGTATATTTTTGTTATATAATATAAATCTAATTTACAGTATTTATTAAACAATCAGTTGTCATAAATATAATAATTAGTGTTTTTGAAGAAATGTAATGCTTTTGCTATCTTTTTCTCCTAAAAGTTATGTTTTGATTGTAATAATTATATTAATCTAAAAGAGTCAACAATTTAAGTTTAATTAACCTTTGATTTGAATAACAATGTCTTTAATCACGATTTGCTAAATAAAACTTTTTTGTTTAAAATAATTAATATTTTTATTTTATATGGTTTTAGATTGATTCAAATAAAAATATTTTATATTTTTATTGCTAATTTAAATCACTTTTGAAAATGTTTATATAAACGCTTGAATGTAAATGAGAAATATAATAATTGTTTCATAGATTATATTATAATTAACATATCAATTGAAAGTCATACCTATTTATATATTAGAAAAACCTGTTGCCTAATATTGCTTGTTTTATCATTTAAAAAAATTATATCTATATATACATATTGTTATAAACAATATACATGATATATATATAATTTTACTCCAATTTTAACTTATTTTTGGTAGTTATGGGTAACAAAATTTTATTACCGTTTAGTTAAGTTTCTTAGGATTACATAATGTCAAATATCAATGGCATACAAGAGCCAGAAAACATGCATAATATCGATCGACTATAAGGTGGATACTTATATTGTATGGACAGACATGAGTAACAATGATATGATTATAATAGTGACTCTTATGAGACTTAGTTGCCGTCGATAGGAGAGAGAGAGAGAGAGAGAGAGACGATAAGTCATGGAAAGAGAGATGATATTAAAATATATATATATTATGAAAGCTATAATGTGTTGCTAAGAAAAAGTTAATTAAAATCTCGAGTCACGGAGTTTCTGTTAAAATACGGCTTTTAAGAAATTTTCAAAACAAACATTTGCAGTGAATTAATACTATTGGCAATTATGTTGGAGTGTTGGCGACAATAAAATGTATATAAAAATTAAGGCAAACTAAGACTAAAGTATCGACTAAAGCATACATCTTTGCATACTTATTACATGCTTTTAAAACATACAATATAACTGTTAAGCAATTTTTATAATAATATAAAAGTTAGACATACGATATATTCCCATTTGATTAAGTAATACAAGAATTACTGTAATATAACATTACAAATCTAAGTTAATGTTTTGCACACATTTTTTCAAAGCAATTTGTTTATACAAAGTTATAGTTTTCTTGAACTTTGTGCCTAAAAACAATGTAGACTTTAAATTTCATTTAAAACACCATTTATTACTAAACGAATCCAATGCTGGCAACACTTTTAGTTTAATTATATTAAAAGTGTTAAGATATACAGTACTGTACTGTATATACAGTTTATATTAACTGACTGTACAGCTTATCAACACATTTATAGTTTCGTCTTTACTTTTTACTTTATCTTTATATTCACTTTTCGTAATAATAATAATAATTTAATTTTTTATTATATACTGTTTCATCAAATATTTTGCTGTTTTCTTTAAATTGTTTACTAAACTAATAAACTCAAAGAAATTATGATTTCTAATAACAACCAACAATGCAATGCAATACACATTGAATTAATGTTTTAGTTCAATGATCTATAATTTTTTTTAATATTTTGCTCTCACTTTCTGCTTGTTTAGTGTATGTGTTGTTGTTGTTTGGCATAACTCAAGTCATATCATACTTAATGACCCCTTAAACTAGAGCTAAAATAATGGCTAATATTAAAGCCTTAAATCAACATTAAAACTCAAGTAATAATTATAATGATATTATAATGATGTCTACAAATACAGACAAGACTTCAAAGTTGACAACTCAAATAAAACCGGAAAATAATAATATATTTCATTAATATTTTCAATTAAATTAAATCGTAAATTCATAATTGATCTTAAATTTACATTTAAATTATACGCTTTTATTTCAAATGATTACTTATATATTTTATATAAATATTCAGTTTTTAATCAATGTTAATTTACTTTGAAATTATTTTTATAATCATATATTAATTAAACTAATATTTAAGTTTTAAGGTTATATTAACAAAATTATTTAGATTAATTATTTATAAGATATAAAATAATAAAACTATAATACGTAAAAATATATAATATAAAACATTTATTATTTTTGCGCATAACATACAGTATAAATATAATAATAATAATTTGTGGTAATGTTTTTGGTGGAGTATTTTTAAGAATAAATAAAACAATGATTTTTAGTAAAATGAGAAACACTTAGCATTTTATTTACCTCAATATAAGAGAAAGTAATAGCAATAAGTGTCGACTTGTATGCCTTATCATAATATTGCTGAACCACAACAACATTAAGGGTCTGGTTGTGTAATATATGTGTTTTTGCTAACAACTGTGTCTCACAAAACACTAGTTTTATATTTATTATCGTTAAAGTAGAGAATAGAGTTGAGAATTAAGTGTAGAATAGATTTATTTAAGTTTTTATAGTATAGTCTCTATTGGTTTTGGCTTTTATGAGTCTAAGGAAATGTTGAGTTTGGGTGGAGTCGACAAAAGGCTAGCAAACTATCGCTTCTTCTTAAATGACGGAAAAGTAATAGTTTTGTTGAAAAAACTATAGAATTATATTATTATTAGATATTTGTTGGCAAACTGTTAACATAAAGAAAAACTCATTATATAGTGGGTCTTAAACTAAGCGTAAGTAAACCATAAAATCGGTGCAAATGTTTGCCAAACACGTTGTCTAACAGATAAAACTTTGTGGCAATCAATGAGACTTAAGGTAATTCATAGTATACTGTACTGTACTGTCGTATTCCCAGTGCTCTCAATAAGAAAGATGTGTCATAAGACTACAATTGCTTTATTATTAACACATATCTGTTTGAGATTTCAAATATACAGATGTACTGACTTATAATAAAACTGTTGACTAAATGGTATATCAAACACTCATTATTCATTAGACGTCTATTTTTGTATCGTTTAACAAAAATAAATCAGATTTCTTTAATAGCTTGCAATATACTATATTTATTAATAATATTAATACAGTATACTATCATAACATACATGTATGTTATGTTTACTCAGTTATGATTACCTCAACGGTAGACAATAAAAGTTAGAGCTATTAGAAAACAGAGAATAAAACCAGAAATAGATTGTAACAAATAGATAGACATTTGCGAGTGTGTGTGTGTGTGTGTGTGTGTGTGTGTGTGTGTGTATGTGTGTGTGTGTGTGTGTGTGTGAGCCCTGGGTCTGGTCTGAAAAGGTCTTTACAGTTATTGTCTGCATATATTGCATGCTATGGCTATGCATTGAAAGGCAATCAAGTCATAGCAGGGAATAATAAATTTGAGAATTTGAATGCATTGACTAAAGGGAGAGACATATTGAAGGAGAGATAGAGTGAGAGAGACTAAACACAAGAATGAGTAGAAAGAGAGAGAGAGAGAGAGAGAGAGAGAGTAAGTGAGTCAATGGGAGAGTATGTCTGCAAATTTAGGAACAGTTAGAAGTATACGAAAGACCGTTAGCACCGATAAACCCACTTCTCTCTACTTCTCTATACTTCTCTCTACTTGTCTATCCTCTACTCTCCACTCACTTTAACATCTCATCCAACAAAAGGTTTTCATTTTCTATTCGCTAAAAACACTTTTGCTATCATTTTCTCAAAATTATTACTTTATGTTTCGTTATATTCACTGATAAGACACAATAACTTTTAATATATATCATACATATTCATATATATATACATAACTAAATAAAAACAGTTTGTGTCCTAATTAATGTTATTTAGTGTTTAGCCCACATCACACACTTAAACACTATTTTATTATTATATATATATAATATATTCCTTAAATAATAAAATATATTATTAATAAACTGCTGGCATTAGGATTTAGGTCTGCATATTGTGACTCATATTTTTGAGAGCACTAAACATTTATATAATATTATAATAAATATAACTTTCAATACTTTATATTTAGTAAGAAAATTATTTATTGATTAAAAAATATTTTCCTTGAAATATGTTTCTCAGAAAAAATGATACAAAAACTATACGTAAATATATRTTATATTATATTTTTATTTTTTAACACAATAGGTGTGATTCAGTTGTATCATAGAATTAGATATAATAAATAAATTTCATAATGTTTTTAACTAAACAACTGTTATATTTGCAATATTATAGAATCAATTGCTAAAAAGTTATCATATATAACATATCATACAAAAAGCATTATAACTACATATAGAATAATAATAATAATAATGCATTAAAACTATTGTCTAAACAAAAGCAACAGAAAAGTCTTAAAAATAAACAAAGTTATGATTTATTTATAAAGTTTTTTTTGCGCTTACCTTACAATGACTTATACACTAATATGTGTATAAAATATGTATTTTGAAAGCACTGTTGACTGCAATATGTTGTAAGTGTTGTGACAAAAGCGCGTAAAGGAATAAATGCTTTAATAATACTGTAATCAAATGTATTAACAAATATAGTGAGAGAATGTAGAGATAGAGTGAGACTCCAAATGTTTGATTCAATACAACAATAATATACAGAAAATCCCCGAAAGAGAACTTTTCTGCCTATAAGTCATCAAACAATTTCATACTTTTATTTCTAAACAATAATTATGTCAAACATATAGTGTCCCCCATTTAGACCATTTGATATACATTACAATGTAAATTGAGTTGAAATAAAAAACACATAATTTGTGTTAAATTGTTATCAATAGTATACGTCCTTCAAATGTTTGACAATGTGTTCCCCAATATATATATGCATTCAATTGTATAATACATTTGATATTAATATCTAATCTGATGTTAAAAATAGTGATAAACCCTTGAAATCAATTGATAACACAATTTGTGTTACATTTGATTCAATGCTTTTGCAATAATTATCAACATTTTATACACAAATATATCAATGTTTTGATTGTAATTACAATCCAATTGAAGACATATTGTTGGCAAACAATGGCCGCACTATTGAACCGATCGTTGATTAGAGGATCAGGTCTTGTATTGAATACCAATGAGAGCACATCCAGTGATGATATCGGCGACCATTTTGACCGATATATTACTGAATGTGACTGAAGAATATGTTAAATGAATTACCGAAACATCAATTAAATCAATTAATTGATTGATTTGTTTGTATTGTTTAGTAAAGAACTGTTCATTAAGTCACAGATGGCGTGCGGTCTGTCCATCGGTAACAGCGATTCGGGTCAATCCGACCGACAATTATCACGATATAAGGACATCCATGGAGTTGCCGGAAATGTCGCTAACATTATCTTCAGCAGACAACCCATTGATAAAAACAAACCATTCATTAAGTTATTCAACACTACATCTTCAAAGACTTCAAAATAGGTATTAAAATGATTTATAATTTAATTATATAACCATTTTTTGACAGTAATTATATAATAATTATGTTTAAATTTATTGGTATTTATTAAATATTATTAAATTTTTTAAAGTAAATATAATTTTATTTATTTATATTTTTAGGTTTTGTCCAAACAATTTGTTTAAGAAATTTAGAGATAATTCATTAAGAAGTAGTAGTTGTCGACAATTTCATAGATCTGCCATCACTTGTATGTTATCGCATATACTGTATATTTACCACAAAAATGAGTGTTAATTGTTTATTTGAATTAATTGATTAGTCAATGAAGTGAAGGTAGTGGTTGTCCCACCATTAGCTGAATCACTCAGTGAGGGTGATATCCGATGGGATAAAGGTTTGGATTCATATTTTAGTCATTTATAATGAATTAATTTCTAAAAAAAGATTATCGATAGCTGTCGGCGACACCGTAGCTGAAGATGAAGTTATCGGTGAAGTGGAGACCGATAAAGTGAGTCTTATTATTGATTACCATTGTTTTAATATTTAGCCTAATTTTATGACTCGTGATATTAATTGCTATTTTTTRTATGGGTTTTTTATCTCTCATAAAATATTTGTATTTATGAGAAATGTTTGAAATTTTTCATATTTTTATCGCGTTTTTAATATGAATAGCAATTCAATTAAAGTGTTGTTTTGATTCCCCAAACGTAATGATGAAAATGTTGATTATAATTACAGTTACCTGTAATTTAATGCATACCATTTTTGAGAACACGACAGTCCCTTTAAGTAGAGGACATGCAATGCCAATGATATTAGATTTGAATGTATAGTTTAGTTGAAAAAACAAAAAAGTGTTGGTTATAAAAGTAGTTTATTTCTGTTATATAGCATATATTCCCAAATGAGTTGGCCCTAAGTTTTATGAGTGCTTTTTCTCTCATTTAACTCTTATTTTTAATAATAAAATCATTAATACAGTAGTGAATTGAATATTAGAGCACGTCGTCTACTAGTTATAGATATTGTGCTTTACTTTCAATCTATTTAATACAACTACAATATTATACAGTATATACAGTACATATACCGGTATATAACTGTCTAATATCTAATGTCCATAATATTTACTGAAGTGAAACATCAGTGAAAGTCTCGTTACTATTATTGTATATAAGTTAAGTACAGTATAATGTAAAAGCTAATAACGTTTTTTTAACTACACGTTTGGCTAAATTTTTGTTTTTATTAGTTATTATAGTTTGATTATTGAATGGCTATTATATAATAATTTAGAGACAGATGTATATGAGATTTGAATTTAAGAATATAACTTCAGATATGAATTATATGTCAAATAAGTAATACGGGAAGCACTGGGAGCTGAACAACACATACACACTCAATAGTGTTGGGTGTGGTCCGCACGCACTGACCCGTGAACTAGTCTCCCCTTTTGTCATTACGTACCATAACTTAACTAATTGTCATTAACAAGAAAGCCTACGATTCCAGTCTAACAACACTCAAAACAATACAATACGCGCTCTCCATATACTATAATATTAGTAAAATGACAGCACTTAAAGCTAACGGTGCTCTTATCAGGTGCGCACCGAAGACTAGCATTGCCTTCAAATTAAGTTGACTTATCTTTTGTTGGGTTGCTATGAGTAGCGGACAGACGTGACATTGGCTTTGCTAACCATTTAAAACTAATATCAATACATATGAATGCAATAACAATAGACTAAATTTATCTAACATTTTGTTTTAACCAAAACATAATTATTATTATAACAATAATGTGGTACAAGTAATGACTTTTATAGTAGTGTTCAATAACTCCCATCTGAACTCTAATGTCTTGTTTCTGGCGTCCCTAAGATGTAATTATGTGGTCAAAGATCAGCTGCTATGGCCATCATTGACCAAAACAATTGTCTCACAAATACATTAATCATTTACTATATATTTACTATTTATGATGACTTATGTTCTTATGTAATAAATTTTAATAAATAATATATAATTTTGCTGAATAGTCAATAAATTGTAAGCATTTTTCATAGGAGTTATGGCTTTAATAAAATTCAAATTATGCATATCATGTATCATAAACTTTGTATATGTCTATCATTGATATAACAAATATAATATTGATTGACTTTAATATGAGATAAAGCATTTCACTTAAAATATTTCTTAATATAGCAACTATGGTCAGCGCCAGTAGTTTATATTAACAATATATTCTTATGGCTTATATATAGTACAGTAATTATACTGTACGATATATTATATATTGACTAATATATTGAATACACTATAAATGTTATATAAAGTTTCTAAAATTACATTTCTAATCTATAGTAATACATTAAAACTATAATTTTTCTTTATATATATATATATATATATGAATTATAATTTTTGGTATAAGTAAATTATTATCATTAATTACTTTACTATTTCTCATATTATAATATTATTAAGTAATGTCTTTGTTTATCTTAAACTTAGCGCTAAATTGTATAAGTAATTGTATTATTCAATAATAAAAGAAACCATTTAATGATGTTATATATTATTGCTTAATAACTAACACAGTTTCACTGTTAATAAGTTATTAATATTACTTTAAGTATATAATGATTTTGTGTAAAGAATCTGTAAGCCCTGTGTCTCATGATTATAGCTATTTAAGGCATAATTGTGGCTAAAATGTATTTAAACACAATGAAACTCATTTGTGTGACATTAGCTTAGTTTATTAATGTATATATATATTAAAAGATAATATTATAAAAAGAGCTATAATTGTAATGATAATAATTTAAAGTCAGGAAAAATTAGTTTTTTGCTCCAAAAGAAAATCTCTTTCAATTAGTTAATCATTATTATTGCGTGAATAATAATATATGTTATTCTATGTGCACATCATGTGGTATATATTATTTCTTTGCTTAAACTAATAGCTATTTATAATTATTTAAACAAATGAAAACCTTTCTCTTTAAGAGAATCTATAATTTGCTTTTTTTCTCATACACTAACATTAACACTCACTCACACTCATTGATGATATGCCATATCGGATGCTTATATAAACTGTATGTATGTATATATATATATGAATATAGTTTTTCGATAATGTTTTTTAAGACAATGAAAAGTGATTTATTTGCGACAAAAGAGCTCATATGTTAGGCTATGAATTAGTGAATAACTTTATCTGTTTTTTGTGTTTGAAATTAGAAAATGGCTTTTAAGTGATATATTCTTTAATTATTCTCCCATTTTTATGGTTTGTCGCTACAAAACAATGCATTAGATTTCACTCATTTTCAGTTATTTATTAAGTTTGAGAACTATATATAGTGACAAAAAAGGCAAAAATTGATTATCAGTTTTTTACTATTATTATTATATAATAAATAGGATGTAAGTATACGAATGGAAATATTTTCAATGGATATTTGATAAGTAAAAGTGAAAGACTATTCATTTTTGTTAATTAAACATTTTTTAACAATAATTATTTATTGGTATTGTTTTATGAATAAAAAAATATTATAGCATTAATAGAGCTAATGATTAAATCCATGGTATGGTCTGATTATACTCATCGACATCTTTAGCCACTTATCTCTCTATACTTTTTGGTGTATAATATTCAACTTAAACATTATTATTATGATTATCTAAATAAAGGTTTAAAACAAGTGAATGTCATTTGAAGCGGAATAATAAGTTTTATCATTAATTCGTTTTTTACAATTAGTTTTGTTTATATAATACCAATGAAAGCTTAAGAAATGCATTTTCCCATTGGCTTTACGATAACTATACGGTTAGATAACACTTATGAAACAGTATTTCATAGCTCACAGAACAAGCACTTTATATTTACTTTGTTTTACTTTTCATTATTATATGTAAACTCTATATTTTAATTAGAGACTCACTACTACTTGCAATTCACTGACATTTAATATTAGTTTACAAAATGTTAGCATATATTGTACAGTATATACCAAACACTGATATATTAGTGAATGGACACTAAAACTTTTCGTAAATATAATTAAAAATTAATAAGATTATTGCATATAAATTAAAATACTGTGATATTTGAGAAAAATTATTGATTTACAGTATCTAACATTTTTTAATTTATTTTGCTGGTGATATTTTATTTAATGGCCATGCTCATTTACTTATACTGTATTAAATTTTGCATATTATAAAATCTATTAGAAATAATATTTTAAATTTATAAGTTTAATTAATTGTTGATAATTATAATATTATGATAAAAATAAAGCAATAAAATGTTAAATATAGACATCAGTTCCGATTCATTCTCCAGTGGCCGGAGTTATAGAGGAATTGTTGGTAGAGGACGGGTCTACAGTACAACCGGGAAAAGCAGTATTAAAGATACGTGTTGGAGGTGCTGGCGGTGTCGCTGCTCCTAAAAAAGCTGACAAAGCAGAGGCACATAAAGCTGCTCCAGAGGCTACAGTTAAAGCGCCAGCTCCGCCATCTAAAGAGATACCAACAACACCTCCGCCCCTACCATCTCGGCCTTTATCACCGTTATCTTCCACTCCGGTCACACCAATCAAACAAAAAGATTCTTTTGGTGAGTCAGGCGTAACAATTGGCACCCGAAAGGAGAATAGAGTTAAAATAAATCGTATGCGACAGCGGATCGCTCAGAGACTAAAAGATGCCCAAAACACTTATGCAATGCTCACCACTTTTAATGAAATAGATATGAGGTTTGATTTTATATTCATTATAAAGACATTGCATTTTATTAATAATTATATAAATGAAACAGTAATGCAATTGAAATGAGAAACACATATAAAGATATCTTTCAGAAGAAACATAATCTCAAACTTGGTTTTATGTCTGCTTTCGTGAAGGCGACTGCCTATGCATTACAAGATCAGCCCATTGTTAATGCTGTTATTGATGAGTCAGAAATTGTCTATCGAGACTATGTAGACATTAGTGTTGCTGTGGCCACACCTAAAGGATTGGTTGTACCCGTCATTAGAAGTGTAGAAACTATGAGTTATGCAGACATTGAGAAAACTATAAATGCTTTGGGAGAAAAAGTAAATATAAAATGTTATTATTAAGTTACTTATCTAACAGCTATTACTAACTATTGTTAATAATAGGCCCGAAGTGGTTCATTGGCCATTGAGGACATGGATGGCGGAACTTTTACTATAAGTAATGGCGGTGTGTTTGGCTCAATGTTTGGCACTCCAATCATTAATCCGCCTCAATCTGCTATTTTGGGAATGCATGCCATCATTGAGAGACCGGTTGTTATTAATCATAAGGTATTTTTGTATTTCCTTTTATTTTGGTTAAAATAATTGAAAATTATATATATATATATTGTTGGATTAGATTGAAGTGCGACCAATGATGTACGTATGCCTCACGTATGACCACAGACTCATAGACGGCAGAGAAGCGGTCACTTTCTTACGTAAAATAAAGGCAGCCGTAGAAGACCCGAGAATTATGTTTTTAGAAATATAATTCTTTTTAAATAATGTGTTGAAGTGATTAGTGTTTTAAAATAATTAAAAGTAATTTAGATTTTAAAAATATTATATAAATTGTAATATATATATATATTTATTATATATATAAACAAAAATTTTAATTGTGATTCAGTTAACCAAAGGTTGACTTCACGTATTTAATATGAGTTCTCCATAGATATGATAGATATAAAAACCGCTTATATTGAGACCAAACTTTTTTCAGTTAAACTAAAGTTAACTTTTGGTCGCAAAATATTTATTTCGAGTCTTATATATGAAAGGATTAAAGAAGTTTAGAAGTAAACCATATTTTATTTATATTTTTTAACTTAAAATGATTATAATTTCTAACAATATATAACTAAATAATAATTACACAAATATTTAACGGTAGAGATGGTCGGCCTCTAAGTTGGCAGCAATTTCTGCCTCCCATTTGTCGCCGTTATTCAACAATTTTTCCTTATTATAAAGCAGTTCTTCATGAGTTTCGGTCGAGTACTCAAAGTTCGGTCCCTCGACTATGGCGTCCACAGGACAGGCCTCCTGACAGAAGCCACAGTATATACATTTAGTCATATCAATGTCGTAACGAGTGGTACGTCTACTGCCGTCAGCTCTCTCTTCGGCCTCAATAGTGATGGCCTGAGCCGGACATATGGCTTCACACAGTTTGCATGCAATACATCGCTCTTCACCCGACGGGTATCGCCGTAACGCGTGTTCGCCTCTAAATCGTGGACTTATGGGTCCCTTTTCAAAGGGATAGTTGATTGTCGCCGGCTCTTTAAATATCTGTCCGATCACTACACCTAAACCTCTGGTCATTTCAGTCATCAGTATCTTTTGCATCGACCTCTCGGTGATGTCTTTCCACTCCATTGAATCCAATTTTCCCATTTGTTTATACTCTCCGCCGCCCGACAGCATCGGTGTTGTCGTCAATGACCGACACGGATGGCATCGCAGCAGCAGTTGGTGGCGATTGTCTGCAAATCAAGTCATTAATATAAACATATCTTTGGATGACTTTTGTGATGATATTTACCAAACAATAGCCGATTCAAGAGTCTGACAGACATTGGATGCTATTAACCGATGATTTCAATTAATAATTAATTTGTTGTTTTCAATGTCGACACTAATGTTATTAAATGTATTATTATTACTGTATTTATATTTATGTTATTATTATTTATTTATAAATTTATTATAATATATACTACTCGTCAATAATTACGTCAATATTTGCAATTAATGTGTTATTTATTTATAAAAGAAAAAGTTAACAAATTTAATAAATTGTCTTTAATTTAATTAACTTTACTTTACTTTGACTATAAAATACATTTTTTATATTATTTGCAATAATTTTTTTATACATTTTTATAATTAAAATCATAGGCCGAGAGCATTTGAGACTCATCGGCTCATATTAGTTCTAAATGTGTTAGAGTCAGATTATGACATTTTATTTTGAAAAAAAAATATTGTTGAGATCTAACTTTAAAATGAAATTTTATTCAAAATACTAACATTTAGTATACAAAGTGCTAAATAATAAACAAAAAAATATATAAACAATATTTATGATATTTATAATTATAATAATTATTATAATAATTACTAGTTTGTCCCGAGCAACATGTATAGCCGTGCAATTCTTTTACTAATTTAAAAATATTTACTATAAGTAATTTGAATGAGACTTAATTTGTTTATACAACTACTACATAACCTAATGTAACAAAACTACTGAACCAATACACATTAATTCGACTAAACTTTTGAGAAATTTTAGTTTTTATATATATTTAAATAATTTTAATAAAAATTGAAAATTTAATTTTTGCGAAAAAAAATTTGCATTTGAAAAAAATTTACTGAAATTTAACACATGTAGCTAACATGTGCCATAAACTCACACAATATAGCAAAGTGTAATTACACGACACACCAACCTACCTGTCCCTAAAACCTACCTGAGCTCAACAAAAATTTAAAATTTCCCATAGAAATAACATTGCTTTAAATTTTAACACAAATTGAAAATTTTTGCATTTGAGAAAATTTTGCAAAAATTTAGCACAGGTAGCTTACCTCCCGGTGCCCTGTAACTCATATAATATAGCAAAGTGTAATTAGACGACACCAGCCTACCTGTCCCTAAAACCTACCTGAGCTCAATAATCATTTAAAATTTCCCATAGAAATAACATTGCTTTAAATTAAAATTGAAAATTTTAACACAAATTGAAAATTTTAACACAAATTGAAAATTTTTGCATTTGAGAAAATTTTGCAAAAATTTAGCACAGGTAGCTTACCTCCCGGTGCCCTGTAACTCATATAATATAGCAAAGTGTAATTACACGACACCAGCCTACCTGTCCCTAAAACCTACCTGAGCTCAATAATCATTTAAAATTTCCCATAGAAATAATATTGCTTTAAATTAAAATTGAAAATATAACAATATATTTTTAGCTTTGAATTAAAAAATGGTTGTTGAGGAAGTGTGCACACATACAAACAAACAAACAAACAAACAAACAAACAAACAAACAAACAAACAAACAAACAAACAAACAAACAGACAAAACAAATGTCTTAAAGTTATTAGGATAATAATTATAATTATAAAAATTATAAAAATTATAAAAATTATAAAAATTATAAAAATTATAAAAATTATAAAAATTATAAAAATTATAAAAATTATAAAAATTATAAAAATTATAAAAATTATAAAAATTATAAAAATTATAAAAATTAATAATTATAATATTAATAATTATAATATTAATATATTGTCTAGAATTTAAATAAAATATTAATAGAAAGGTAATTTTAATAAGGAAAAAATACTTAAATGCTAAAAAACCTTATTAAATTGCTTTTAATATTTAATAATAAAATATTAAAAAAGGTTACTTGGTTCAAAATAAACATAATTATCTTTATGATCTGTAGTTGTATCTTTTTTTTCTATAAGTCCAAATCAATGCTATTACACTGTATTATAATTTTAATTATTTTATATATCTTATATTTTAAATACCTGTATCGACAGTATTACTATTTATTTCATTAATCAAAATTTTACAAAATTTTTCATTATTTTCATTGTCAGTATTTTGTCCAGAAGTAGTATAATTAACATTAACCAAAATCGCAATTACAAAGATAGATGAAATAATAACATATTTTTTCTATAATTTAATAAATGAATGAAAAATATAAAAAATAAATATTTACAATTAATCTAATAGGTTTTATTTTTTAAATACAATTATTTATTTTTATACAAAGATATAAATTATATATTACCTTATTTTTGTAATTTTTTTTTATTTTTAAAGTTCATTATTATTTAAACTATTTTTAAATTCTTATTAATATAATTAAATTTTATTATATTTAATAGTTCCACGTTGCACTTTTTTAACACAATTTTTTAAAAACATTTAGTATATTTTTTACATGTTACATGTTAGATTTTTTAAGTGGCATTTTTTTATTATGAGATAAGTTAATAAGATAAGTTACCATAACAATATTTATTTTTTAAATAAAAATTTCAACTCTATGATTGGATTTTCTCAAATGCTCTCGGCCTATGATTAAAATTATTATTTATACTATTTTATATTATTAATACTTTACAGGTATTTTAATATCATTATTATTTATATATAATATGATACAATAGATGGCAACTATTAATAGTTATATAAATTTACTGATTTGTACTGTATATTAATGTACAGTAGAGTAAAATTTAGTATTTAATTAATACTATTAACTATAATAACAGTTGACATTAACTTGAGATTTAACACAAACAATCACTTAAACATAGATTCAAACTTCAATTAAAATTTTAAGTCATATATAGATTATCATAGATTCATAGGGTTATAGATTCCACCCCTCGTTTTATTATCAAAAAATTCCTTATGTTTCCACTCCCTGGGAATTCCCAGGGAATCTATTTCCTTGTGATACCACATATTAAACTCAAAATAACACATTTTATTATAATGTTTGAAATACAAATATATTAAACTGTATTTTAAGTCGTATTCATAAATAGTCACTAAATTTATTGAATTGAAATTTATTTTAAAATATTTTTTGCAAAATATTTAAGTTTTGCTTACTTTATACAGAATTGTAATAATATAACAAATATTTTCCCTTTCTAACGATTGAGGGAAGGAAAGTAAAATATTTTCCATATTTTACGGGAAAATTGGAATGATTTTTTAGGGAACTTCCCTCACTGGAAATGTTGATCGAACTCTAATTATATTAATTTAATTTTTATGTATAGTACAGATTTTATAAAAATTTTACAATTTTAAAAATTATAATTTAATAAACTCTTTAATACATTGAATGTGTTTTAGTGACAGTTTTTTGAGTCCAACATATTTTTGTGAATAATATAAGTTATAACTTGAGTTGAGTTATACCTTGTTTTTATAAAGCATTTTCTGCAAATATTTCTCTCAAAGTAAAGTATAAAATCGTTTTCATTAAGATATACTTAGCATTACTTTTATAATTATTAATATTTATTAATCATTTAGATTTTGATATTTATATTGACATAAAATATTAATACAAAAATTGTAAATAATATAATAAATACAATATACTGTTCTTTACCTCATATTAATACTTCATACCATAGATGCAGAGCATTTGACACGCATTGGCTCATATTAGTGATAAATATGTAAGGGTCAGTTTGTGAATTTTTATTTTGAAAAAATATATTGTTGAGATCTAAGTTTAAAATTATATTTTAAGTGGCATTTATAACATTAGACTATAAAATAGTTTTGTTACCATAACAATATAAATTTTTAAATTGAATTATTATTGGTTTATGTCAATTGCATCTATGTTTCATACTTTCATACTCTCTCAAAGTTTTGTGTTTTTGTTAACTTTAAAAGTCAAGTATAAGTAGTGTTTTTATTAAGAAATTTTGAAAATACTTTCAGAGTTTTCTTTATGAAAACAGAGTATTAGACCTCAAAAAGGATTGATTTTAAAATCAAAGCAATAATTGCTAATTATTTCTTGACTCAGAAATTTGTGAAAACAATAGTAAATGAATTATTATTTTAAATTTAATTAATATCTATTGATATTATTAATAAGTATATAATATAATAGTTATCTTTATTTTAATTTAAATTTAAATTAAATTAATAAATTAAGTTAAATTTTGAATATTTCATTCATTTAAATATACAATATGTACTGTATTTATATTGATATAAATTTATATACTTATATAACAGTATTTATGTTTTAAATTTAATATAATTGTATAATATATATATATTTATGACTTGATAATTACAAATGGTTAATTGTGGTGGGTAAATTATATAAAAAATAAAAAATTATTAGTTAATTAACTTTGTTTATAAAAAATATTAGATATATAATACAATAGTAAATATAAATTTTCAATTGAGTATCATTTAAATTAATTAACCATTTTTAATAAAACAAAAATACAATTTCATGATATAAGTTAAAAATAAAACAATTAATTTATAAACGTTTTTATTTTATTTTTTGGTATAATTAATAGTCTATGATGAGTGACTGGTATAAAAAAATTAAAATTTATTTGTTTAAAAAATGAATTTGAATTAATTTTCAATTAACGAGAATATAATTAGAAAAATTAAATAAATTATTATTATAGCATTCAATTAATGGTAAACTACTTTTAAAATAAATTTTATTAATTACATATAAGTTTTGGTCCAATATTATGGGACCTGTTTTGCATAACATGTTATTCTTAGAGTCTACTAACTTGTAAGTGGGAGGGAGGGGGTCATCAAAAGTAAATTATGAGATTACGCCCTACATTTGTAGGCCGTATACCTGATAATAATCATCATATTGTATACTGTATGAGCCGGGGGTCTAATGGGCATCAATTGTTGAATGTATATAAATGTTATAAAAACACAATTTATTATTTTATTAATATGTATGAAATTGAGTGTTAACGTAAAGTTATTTTTAAGTATGCATTAAATTATTAGAAAATATCAAATTTAATACTTTTATAAGAAAAATAAAATAAAGAAAAATATGCACAAAAAAAGCATTAGTGGATAAATAAATATTGACTTAAAGCTAAGTTTTTGTTGGGTTGGATGCCATGGATGGCCTTCACTTCAACAGTTGTTTCAAATTATCTTACATTTGGACAACACTTGAGAGACGCTAATAATCAGAAAAACTAATTCAATAGTGAGTTAAAAAAGACTGGTTTGCAAGTAGATTGAGGCAAACCATCACTGATTATAATCAATTCAATTGGACTCCAAATGAGGCTAACAGTGCTTTAAAAGCATATAAATGAGCCAACAATTTGACACAAATGAGATAGACTTGCATTCAATGTCTTTTATTGCTGATTAAAAATAGTCAAATAAAACTTAATTTTGTTATTATTAGTTGTATTTTTAAACATAAATTTGACTTTTATTGTTTGACCACAATTTTCTTAATTAAAAAATAATCAATGGATTCGCGATTCATAATTATAATACTATGTATGACTTCATTAATCATAATCTCATCGATGGACAGTTGTGAAGCTGTCTTTGAGATGGCCTGTATGGACAAGTGTCTCAAAACCAGACGTTGCAAAAAGTATGGATTGGTTTCATTGGACACCGATTGTGATCGACAGTGCAAGAAGAAGTGCTATAAGGTTTGACACAGTTTTTACTTAAATTATTTATTTATTTATTTATTGAATATTTATTTATTAGTTTATATTGTTATCTAAATTAATGTCAATTTTTACAATGTTTTATATCTATATATATTTAGGTAAAAGCTTGAAATCAACAATTAATTCATTTAAGACATTCATTTATGTCTATTAAACAATTTATTATTATTACATTACATAAACCTTACATTTAAAACTCATTGATATAATATTAATATATCCATTTAAAATAAAATGTATTTAAGCTTTTATTGATTATGTATTTCTAATTATATTGTCATATAAATATATTAATAAGCATTTAAATATCATTCAAATTTGTCATTAAATAAAATAACTTTGTATTAAATGATCTACAAATAAAAATTAATTTTATATAATAATTTCAATGTTTTTTGTTAACACATTATATACATACATACCTAGATTTGAATTACAAATTATTACATTACTTACTGAGTAATCCATATAATGATAGTATCTTATAATTTACTGAAACGATATCTTTAATTATTTGTTATACGCTTTTAGAAAGCCTAAGGAAATCAAGTTTTTATTTGTTAATAAAATTAAGTATTTGTTGCAAAATAAAAAAAAAACTTCGATAAAATTGTACACTTAATTAACGTTTTAACTAAATATTATTAACCGTTATTTTAAATTACATTTATGTGAGAAAACCTGTATGTTTAATAACCAATAACTAGTAAAATATACCATTAATCATATGACAACCAATTAGTAATCAATCAATTTGTTTATTGATTTTTACAAATATATGTACTTTTTTATGATAAGCCATTTAACATCACTTTAAATTGAAAATAAATGTTGTGAAAGAATAACATTAATATTAATATTCATAGACATCTCAGTAACAAATAAATCATTGTTTTATCAAATAAAATGATTGATATTTTCCTGTTTTGAAGACATTTTGATTGAGATATTTAATTATTGCAACAATTTTCAAGAAGTTTCTATTATTTTTTCATAATTATTTAAAATAACTTTTCAACAATTTATTGCAAATATTAGCTTTATGTTTGTTTTTTATGCAATTATCGTGATCAATTTTTCTAATGAATCATTTATTATGGTTTATTTTATTTTATTTTTTTGTAAACTTTACAAAACTAAATAATAAAATAAACTTTGAATATTATTTTTCAAACAAGTATAATTTTGTTTGTTTGTCTTTATAAAGCAGTTAAATTATGTGTATTAGTAATATTATAATTTTGTTAGTAAAAAATTAACAAATAATTAAACTTTCAAAATTTTTCATAAGTTTAGCTTTAATGTTAAACTTGAAAATCAATTTTGACGCAGACTGTACATACAGTGTACAGTACGTATATTCAATGACAATCAATTTTTGCATTTTTACATACCTGGGTATAGGATAGGTATGTAATACTATGTATCTATCAATAGAGCAAATAAAAGTCAAACAACTTTTGTTTATTAAAAAAAAGTTCATTACTAAAGAAAAGTGATTGAATTTTAAGTTTATTTGGGATAAAATTTTTGAGATTCTTGTACACAAAATAAATGCATTTTTCAGTGAAATGTATTTTTTAAAACTAATAATTCATTTAAAAACTATTTTAAAATAAATGCTTTGATTTTGATTTGCAAATAACTAAATATTTTGAAACTAATTTATTTACAAACCTTAGAGATATTGCTAATTAATTGGCAATCATTTTAAGAGTTTTATGTTAGTTAAGAGTTAAAAAATTAGCATAAAATTTATTATTAAATAAATATTTTAATGAATATTAAATTTAAATTATTTAATTATAACACTTTTTGCTAAACAAATGATAAAATTGAATACTTTTTTAATGCCTATTGAATGATAAGTATATTAATACTAATGTAATGCTTATTAAAGTATTATTAATAATATATTAATTGTAACGCTATTGATGTGAGACAACATTGAATGCAATGATTGACACATTGATTGACATTTGACTGTATATTCAAATGTGATTACAAAGAGTCAGAAGTCAAGTGAAGAGTCATATGATATGTGTTTCAAGTGTTGATCCGTGTCTTCAATGGTTATCAATGGCAACAATGTATTACACGAAGACATATATGAAAGGATATTTGGTTCGTCAGTATTATCTGTCGGCCAAAGAGTCGGATGTAACGCTAAAAGTCGGTCGACAGGCGCTGAGTGGCCACAAGTTTGTGTTGGCCAACAAATCCATTATTTTCAAGACCATGTTCTTCGGCAACTTCAAAGAGGCCATGGAGTCGGAGATACAGATATCCGAGGATTACGATTTGGATGCATTTAAACTGGTCCTCAAGTATTGCTACTTTGAAGAGTTGACATCAAAGGATTGGCCATTAGAACCGTTACCGATGGCTATCAAAGTGTTTCAATTGGCGCACTTCTATCGGATCAAACACTTGTGTTTTATTGCCGAACGAAAGATAATTAATTTGATATCTGTGGACAACTTGATTGATATATTTGATTTCGGACGACAATATCGTCGCAAAAGAGTGATAGTCTTATTGAGAAAGTTTATTAAGACTCACTTCAACGACATTATCACTTCCAATATGTTTCTAAGTCTGACATCTGAGACTTTCGTTAGATATTTGATTAAATTAATGAAATGTGATAATCAATTGACACTAATTAAAGCATTAAAGATTGTCGCCGACAAAAACAATTGGAAATTAATTAAATTTGTCGATTGTATTGATTTAAACAAGTTATCGGTGGATGAGTTGAAATATTTGGCCGACAAAGACTCAGATACTTATATAGATCTCTCACTTAAAAAGTTAAGCCAAATGAGTGATCGCATCCAACAACTTGAAAATCAAAACCAAAGAGTCAATCAAAGAGAATCACTTATCACTGGTTATCATCACTTGAGGACAATGGGGTCTCATTCGGACAGTTGGGATGACTGGGGTTTGGAGTAATGGTTTGTTATGATTAAAGTTAACATATATCGGGAAATTCACATTTAAAAAAATAATATACCGGTATATAATTTACTATTTATTGAATAACATTACCTATAAAAAAATCTATTTTACTATAAAATATTTATTACATACACAACAATAACCAACAATTATTTTGACATAAGATATAATTAATGATCAGTTTATGAAAACTAAAATAAATTAAAAATTATGAATATTTCAATTAAAATCTAGAATTTTTTATATAAAATTAGTTAATTTAGTTCATATAATTTATTTATAATTTACACTAAACGACAAGCATTTAAATTACCTGATTGTGACATATCTTCAATTTCCGATTTTCATAGTTTAGTTCCCGATATTTGTTAACTATAGTTACTATTAAAACAAAGTTTTTTCATATTTTTATTTCGTTTCATACAATTGCCAATAATATTACATTTATTTTTGTTTTAATGTTTTTTGATACTAAAAAGTTGCTATTTTTAATATTTTTAAACAAATACTTATATATATATATATATATATATATATATATATATATATATATATATATATATATAGTGTATAAATTGCTTTAAAACAAATAAAGATTATATCGTAATATGATATACTTAAATTGAAATATATAAATATTATATACGATATGTGATATATTAAGTAACTTTATTTATAATGTTATAAAAGTTGTTTATTGCAATATTATTATGAGAGAGCATTTTTATGGTCATTCAGGTGAACAGTGTCTGAATATACCATTCCTTATTGAGTGAAGACATTAATCACAAAATACAAGAAGAGATCTGAAATAATGATTAAATTTTTTTATAAGATTTTTGATTAATTATTTTTGAAAGATTTGAGGATTTATATTACGTATAAATAGTAATTTTTATATATAAAGCATATATTTGTGTATTATTTGATATGTTGGTTGAATATTATTTAGACGATGAAAAATATTTTCACTAATATTTCATGAAAAACTTATTTTATATCTTATAAATTAATTTTGAATAATTAGCCAATTTATTAAATAAGTAAAAATATACGAATTAATATTAAAATTATAATAAACTAAAAGCGTATTATGTTTATTTTGTAATATTTTATTAATTATTCATTAGTAAAAAATTTTAAATACATAAAATATTACTAAATATTTATAATTAAATTTAAAATAATGTGTTTATGTAAAAATACTTAAAATCTTTTTGAATGAAACAATTTATTAAATAAATTGAATATTTGTTATATAAAAACAAATAATAGATAGTATTTTTTTACAATATATCGGTAATTAAATTTGAGTTATGATTCTTATTTAAAAATGATAAATTGAAAAAAAATTTTAAAAATGCAATTCAATTAGTTTAATATAAAAATATAATTAATTTTGATTAGCGTTCAGAATTGGTAATCAAGTAATGAATGATATGTTTGTAGTGAATAATTGAATTGAATTACAAGATTACACTATAATTATATGGGAGACCTAATGGCAACAAAACGGTTTGAATAGTGATAGCAAACCAGAAGCAGTTAACAAATGAGATACTCATTGATCAGTCTTTACAATGAATCACAATTGCAATTACTGAACATAACTGTGTATTTTGAATAGTAGTGACCCATCACTACAATCAATGCCTTTTATTTACAAAACAAGAAGTAGTTGTTGTTGTGATGTTTGGCAATGAATGAAACACACTGTGTATATACTGTATATACTATATATATACACACAGCAAGTCTATTGACCCGTATTTTTGGTAAGCCTAACACAGTGTAGCACTGGTAGATTATTGGTATATAGTGTAATAGCCATACAATAGTCAGTTTTTTCTGTGAGTGTTTGATAACAGGTTTGGGTTGTTGTGTTGGTTTTACTAAATTATATGTTTACATAACAGAGCAATAGGGGATCAATAGTGAGAGAGGGAGAGAAAGAGAGAGAGAGAGAACCTCTCATTTAGACCTATAATTAAGTGTTGAGGTGTGGTTGGTATCCAAGAGAATATCAATTAAGGAACAGCTTATCATAGGTATGAGTGTTGTATGCCTTATGATGAGTGGCACTCAAAAATTCATTGTTATATCCAAACTCAGAGGTGGTCCTAACTAAGGATCGGGTTTCCCTATCAGCACAACTACTTCTCAGTTCGCATCGGGAGGTCTTACTCCATGACATGATATATACTTCTAAGACTGACCTCTCATTGACCTCTTCACCAAACTCTCAGTGTTCACATACTTATCATTTAAACGAATTCATTTCCAAACACTGTCTGCATATGTCTGACCCCTTAAGAGACCCAATGGTCTTAATTCATAAAAAACTTAATGATATCAATGAATAGAAATTTTGCCATTAGTTTTACTCATTATATAACATCTCATACTGTAATTGACTCTTATTTTTCATTATAACATGTATTAAATATATTATTTTATATATACTGTAATATCAGTTGCATTACTGAATTTACTAAAAACACTACCAGTGCTGCAACATATCCAACAGTATTGTCAGGGCTTTAATGTTTGATCAAATTTGATGGCAAAGTTAAGATGAGCACCAATGACTACCGCACTGCCAATGTTTTAGTGGCCCTTCACAGCCATATTCCCAATGGATCGGTAGCTACAGCTGTAAGCCTTACCTGAATTATGGAGTGTTGTGTTTTGGACCATTGCTAGAGCTCATCAAATCATAGATGCATTTCCAAAATGTGCTGCACGTGATCACTGGTCCATAAACTTTTTGCTGCACTACTCACCATTATCTCCACTTATATATATGACGTTTCATGTGAACCAAACAACTAAAACTAACCAAACTTTAGCACAACACACATACACAACACTATTAGGTCTCTCCTATAGACTATCAGTCACTCTATGATTATATTGAATTGACTACAGCTATGAATCACATCAAGAATCGGCTCAATACTTATGCAATCATATAATGCATTCAAACGATTATAAACACTATTAGCTCTCATAATCTATGTATTGAATTACCAAATGTTTTGTCCACTAATATATAATTTTGTTTTTATATCAACAAATATATTATGTATTTGATATTTTTTGATACAATAAAACTATTTATATTGAAAAAACTCAATATTTTTGTAATTTAGTATCGATTGAATACAATTAGAGAATATTCTGATCGTTAAGTCATTGTTGGCGAAGATTTCATGTCATTCATGATATAAATCTTTGAGTTTATATTGAAATTGGTTTCAGATATTGGTATCAAATGAAACGTAAAAATGCAAAACAAAAGTGAATATATAATTGAAGTGCAATGAATGTTGCGATGATTTAGATATTATGAGATGTTTTGTATCATTAAATAGATGTGTGGGGGAAGTGGTCGTACAGTTGGATGTGTTGATGCAGAGGAAGGCACGCATTAATCTGAATAATCCATTTTATAATGAAGTGCACACATCCGTAATGTTCAATACAATGGTTGTGCACTTGATGTTTAAGGCCACCTGCCATACATTATAATGGCAAAGAGCACACACATCATACAGCACAGGGTTTATACCGTACTGTACTATAGATGTTATACATGTTATACATGTTAATAGAGAAATGATGAAAATACAAACTTAATAGTGTATATAGTATTGGTATATACTGTACAGTATATGTATATATGTTTGAAAAAATGAGTTTCAGAGCAAAAGACAAATCAATAGTAATATCGATCGCAATGTGAGTGTAGTATGAGTTTGTATGGCTGTTCCTACCGCTGCCACTGTTAGACAGTCAGAGCCACACCCGACTCGACCATTGCGTGCAAACACTATAAGCGTTTAACCTATGCTTTTGGCTCTCATTGTCGGTGAACACAAATAGACAAATGTTTATGTATTATGTATTCACACACTTTTCAATGCCATAATTCATTGCTTTCTCTCTATTGTATTGTCACAAGAGTTATCTAATATAATATAATATAATAAGTTTGATGTTATTTCTACTATAAATGCAATGCTAATCAATGATTTGTGTAAACATATTTATAGCGCTCAACAATAAGCTTAATGGCAAATAATAGGCTCATTGCAGCAAACATTGAATCAACTTATTTATACACTTTTCATGTTATCTGAATTAAAACAGTGTTTGCTTTAAAATAATATACTATATAATCAATACAAATAATTAACAACTAATAATACTTTTTTTTCTACAAGTTTAGCATTGGTTGTCAATAGATAACAAATTATTATTATTTTGACAAACAGTATGTTTATTCAGTTTAGACTTGAATTATATGTAATTCAATACGAAAAGAGCCGTAAAGTAGTTTTTGGCTAAAATCCCGAATTTGTGACTCAAAATGCACTGAAAATGCCGACAAATTGACACAAACTTTAATAGAAGAGATAACTAAAAGCCGATTATAAATAAATACTAAAATAAGTTATAAGTTATAGATGTACTGTAGAGTAGTATTAATATACTGTACTATGTTTTATAAAAAATACTTTATTATGTAATAAGTGTCGATCATATGACTATGTATTTGCATATTAATGAATAATATATTGTTCAGTACTTGAGAGACATTGGGGACCGTTGTCTGACACTGGGGTTCGGGAGTCATTATAAGCATAATAACAATATTACTATACATTAATAAGTGAAGTGATTTCAATTGAAATATTGCAATCAATAGTTTGATACCAAACCTAATATTAAAAAAGTGAGTAAAAGATTTTAAACAATTTATTTTCATTTGACTCAATAGGCGTTTGCATTCTTAGCACTGAAACACTGGTTCCATGTCTTTAGGCTATGATATCCTATGAATGTGTTGGTCAGGTCTGACTCAGGCCTACCTATCCTCTCAGTGCTCGTTTCGATTATTTTTGGCAATAAAACACAAGACTAATAGCATTTTTTGTCTGCCTTTTCTCAATAATTCATTTTAAAAAAGTCAAGACCTCTCATCTCTCACTCACTCCCATAGTATTGGCTAAACATTTAAATTTAATCGTTTAAATCTATCGTTTAAAATAGTTTTTAGGAGTTCATTATATTATTTTAAATAATAAACAAAATCTTTATAGAAAATTTTCTCAAATTATTTATTTATATAATTTTTATTTGTTGTCAAATCAGTTAAATCGATGAGTTTGCTATTAATAAATAACTTACAGTAATTTAAGCATAAAGACATATAAACTCAAAAACATTTTACATAATAATAATAATAACCACAGATTTATAAAAATTAATGCATTTTAAAATATAGTAAAACTTTTGACATATGTTTCTCATTTTGTTTATAATATTTATAATAATGATACATATAAATGTTAATATTATTTATAAAAATGAAATCAATTTTTATAAAACAACAAATTGAAAAATAGTGGCCTTCGGGCCAAACATACAAAAAGTGAAGTAATTGTTTTAGATTAGACACTAAATGAGAGATAAAAGACTACTTCTTGCAAATGACTACCGACTGCTTTCTCACATAAAACTTAACACAAATTTTGGTCTTTATATTACATATATATATATATATTTCTGTATATATCATATAATTTATATAAATACTGATGAAGTAATTTCAGTATAAGTTATTTGTTTGACTCCTTATAGTTTAACTAAAACCTATCAAATATCTAAAACAGTATCTCATTTATAAATGGCTGACAGCTATAAAAAATCATTTTGAAAAGCTTTGAGTCAATTCATGTTGAAATGTGTACTCTCCAGTCCCTCCCATTCCCATACAATGTTAGCATAAAAGCGTGAGATGATGGTTCAGATCCGTATATTTTAATACATTATTAACTTATTCTTGAAAGTTATACTGATTTTTTCAAATGAGCTCTCTATGGGCTCAACTATTATTGTTTATATCTCTCAACATTAAAATTCTATATCAAATAAACCATAATTCAAATCAATAAATAATAATAAATACAATCACACATGAAATTCTTGTATATATATATATATATGAATATTTAAATAACGAGATCTAAAATAATTGTTTGTTAAACGGATATAAATAAAAAAAAACATTAACTTCTGGTCCATTCATGGCATGAGAGCTGTCTGTCCTACAGCTTATCAAATGATTTAGAGTTTGTTAGTAACTCTCGGGTTAATCTCCAGGTCATCTTCGCTGCATTTTCCAGTGAACTATTCAATACAATTAAAGTATATAACATTTTATTGTATGTTATAGACAATGCATTTATCACAACAACAAAAATGTTATATTTCTACAAAATGGCTATTCAATTGTTTGTATGAAAAATTATTATATAAAACAAATATCATTTTACAAAAGACAAATAATCTAAACATTTATCACTCCTATAACAGGCTATTGAATGATTGTTTAGCATATTTATAAAAAGAGATATACAGTATAATGAAAACATATTAAAAATCCATTTCTCTGCATGTTTTCAAAATGTGATTTAAAGTACTAATATATATTTTCGCAACTAATACAGTATATACACTCTCATGTATTGCAAATGAAGTTTAGCTAAAATATACAGTTTATAAAGTATATAATAAAATTTTTTTTTGCTCAAAACTAAGTTCAATAAAAATGCTATGTGGGATAAAATGGGATAATAGGCAGGTGTGATACTATTAAATAAATAATATTTATGTGATTTTTTTAAAGTTTACACTAAATATAACGATATCTATAATTAGCTAAATTTTATGTTATGTATAAAAACGAGCAAAATTATAGTATATTATGACTAAACTTATATTATAAGGAATAAAATGAATGGATGTGCAAACCTGTGAGACTTTCCCCTAAATAAGTCGAGATTAGGCAGAAAATAGTGTGGACAGCGACGACATTGTAGACATGATATGAGTTGCAGTAGTATACCATTGATGCGGTCACCCAAACACACTTCATCCCATTCACCCTCTCGGGGGTGTTTCTCACACTCATATAATAATAGTGTCTTCAAATGATAGGCATTGACGGGCAGTCCCGGCAAATCTAAGTGACGGTCGCGAAGTGTTTTTAATATTGAAAGACATTTCTTACGACATCCGCCCTAATGTTAGCAATACATGACAAACAAATTATTTAGTAAATTATAGAAAACAAACATATTTTTTGAAATATTTCAAATATAGACAACAAATACCTGAAGCAATCTATTTTCTGCCTCAAGAAAACTGAGAACCCAGGCGTCCCCTTCCATAGAGCTTTGTTTACCCTATTTTGGACATACATTTGGTTTAAATATTACAATAGTTTGTATGACATAATCGTAAACATACTTGAAGTGATACACAATCTTTGCTGAGCAAATCAAAGCCCTCAGCCTTGACTTCAGCAACAATATTAGGAGGTGGCCAGGGGCAAGTCGGCATTGGCCAATGTGCCGCCGAACGAGGCCAAAGGCCACTGCACCGAAACGCTGACAAACCCATATGGGATTTAGTATACAATAATGTTTGATATAATATATAAAAACTAATATAAAGATGAATACCAGGTGTGATCTGAACGATATATCTCTCTCTAATCCTTAACTTGACTTCACTGGTGTCGGCAATCATTTTGACCAAATCGCGGTAATTACTCTTATCACATGCTTGTGCTACCTATGAAGGACAGTCACATTTTGGTAAATGAATGAAATTTGTAAATTTTTTACACATTTATAGCTTATAATACTAATTTATATGTAGTGCTAAAGTGATTATTTAAAATATGATATTAAAAAAATACAAATAATATGAATTTGATATTAGCCTTTAGGGTATAGTTTATATGTGTTTATGAATTTCCAACACAAATGGTTGGGCGTGAAAATGATTTAACGATTAGTTGCTCTATAGTTAAAGTGTTTGTTTAGACTAAAAAACTAAACCTTAAAATTAATGACTCGATTATAAGGATTCAGTTTATTTAATACTTACTAATGTCTGAAATCGAGACCTTATTTTACGTGCACTTAAGTAACCGCTCGCTGTTATGAACTCAACCCATAAAGACATCGATCGCTTTCGACCATCAGATAGCTGTATAAGAAACCAATAGTTAATATATTGTTATTCATTGTCTCATTAATAAGTCACTTATTGTCGACATTTTGTTATCATTTTTATAAGACATACCTTCAAGACAGCACATCCCGGCAGTGAGCCGTCGTCAACAAAGTTGAAAACTCCCATTTGGTTTAGATATAAGACTACCTCGAATTCTGTCGGTGATATCACTTCCAGACCTAATAAAATAATAACAATCATTAGTTGTCTATAATGTCTATTAATAAATCACTTTTCTGTTGTCAATCTAATAATAATAATTCAAATATTATAAAATATATTTATATACTAAACCTAAGAACATCTTATATCTTCATTGTATGATTTATAGTACTGTTTGATTGTTATCTTTAAAACAATATTAATGTATAACTTAAGAATAAAATAATAAAAAAATAATTTATTTATCTATAATAATTATATATAAGATAATTAATATCTTAACAGTATTTTATAAACAAACCAAGTATTCAAATATTTATTTTTCGTAATTGAAAATTTATTTTTTTATGTTACATGGCTTTCATCAGGTATTTAATTTTTTTCACAAAAAAATCTAATTAATAGTTTTTCATTAATTAAAATACAGATAATTTTAAAATTTACTTATTTATATTGTTAAAAGCTTATTATCAAAATATAGTTTTTTGTTTTCATTTGAAAACATATTTTCACTAGAATTTATTGATTATACAGTATTATTATTATCTATGTTTTTTAGTTACTATTTTAAATATAACAGTATAATAAATAAGCATTGATAGTTAACAATAAATAGTTAAATATTAGTTAAATATTTTTTGTGAAAACAGTCTAAAGTAATGTTGTAAAGCATTTTGAAGGCATCTAAAGATTGATTGAAAACGTTTCTCACGTTTTTTTGTTTGGCTCGTTATCTAAGGCATAGTCTCTGAGTCTAAGAGACAAACTCTTATTGATTTGGATCCCAAAACATCCCTTTTAGTTAACAGTATTTGAATTTATTATATTATGATTTTTAATTTTTTTTGTCTGCTATTTTCTAATTGTTTTGCAACAAATAAACAACAAATATATGACACAAAACATAGACTTAAGATGTATTGAATACAATCCATTAAAATATAAACTTCAAGACTCCTTGTGAGAGTAAATTGGATTATTTATAGATAGTTATGTATAATGACTTCATTTTAATGCATTTAAATGGCATTTATTTTGGAAACCAATGAATTAATATAAAAATCAATGAATAAACAGTTGTAACAATTAATAATAGGGCTTTAAATTTATAGATGTTTTTTTAATAAATTGTGTATCAATTTAGCATTTTTTAACAATGATATTATATACATATTATAGAATCTATAATATAGATGTATACCTTCATAATGGCCATTGCATTCAGTGAGACTGGATATGAATCTGGGCTCCTGGACTTCGACCTCCTTGAGCACATCCTGAACTATTTTGGTGATCTCACGGATAGTTTTAGCAATTTGTCCCCTACTGTATAAATAAATTGACATTCAATTGAGTTGTTGTCAGTTTTGCACATATAATAAAATACAAACAAAATGACACTATTTTCATGTGTCTGTGTTGTAAAGTTATCGGAGAAAATGTTTTCAAATTAATGGTTCTTTTTTAAAGTGAAAACACATAAAATCATTCAAAAAGAGATAAAAAACATTTGAATGAATAGATGAATGAATGTTATAGTTTTTTTTGTTATGCAAAAAAATTATTATTTCTTACAATATTTTTCTAAATTAATATATTAGTTGTAAAGTAATTTTTATTTCCTAATAAAAGTATTTACTAACAATTGTAATTTGAGATTTAATTCATTGAAAAGCTGATTATAGAGTTTGAAAATAGCATTACAATAGATAAGCTAAATAACTTTTGAGCAAAACATTAGAGATTACTAATTCATATGTTATTACTGGAAAATTTTGATTATTAATAGATTTTATTGATTATATAAATAAACTTATGAACTTTATGTGTATTTTTATTTTATTTAAAATTTCTAAAATATATCTAAATATCAAAAAATTAAATTTAAAATTATATTAATCTTACCGATAGACAACTCTTTCATTGCAATATTTATTAATATGAAAGAGCAGTTTTGAAGCGCCTAATTGAGAATCTGGTGGTACCAACATTTTCAATGATAAGCTCCAAAAAATTTTTTAGTTATCCAAATAATTTATTTAATATCACAAACACTAAGCACTTATTAACACAATTTGTCAGTGATGTGGTGACAATAGATATATATGAAACTTGAAAAACTCAATTATCAACAACAACTAGTAATGTATATTCAAATGATAAACATTGTGACCATTGAATAAAGTGATTGTAATGTTAATGTCACACATATGAAGTACAACCGGAATATAATACTTGAATCTATAGTTGTGTTTGAAATCTATATAAGAAAAGTCTTGCGAGAGATTAGGGATGAAGTGTTGGCTTCAGATGTATTTTAGTCACCACTAACTGAGCGCAGGCTCTCCTCATCGGTACTCTTGACTCTCTTGTCTTTTCTTATACACTCTTGATATCAATGATAAATAGTAGAGAATAGCCCAGAGTTGTGATGATAATGTTTAGAGCTGACGGTGCAAATGTAGTACTTGGATGCCATGGCATTGTGAAAATGTTGTGGTGTGTATGCGATGGTTTTGGATGCCACGCGCGCACCGGCTATTGGGGCGGTTCTGTTTGTTTTAGCATTGGCTGAGTCAACGGCGCTATCATTTCATATAAATCTTATGTGAGGTCTGCTCTACTCTGCCTTATGTGAGAGCACTTCCAACCTTTTCCTCCTTATATTAATGATTGTCTACTTTCTGTAATGTAATCCTATATAATATATTGCAATTGCTTTCAATGGTTGCCTTTTCTTTTTGCTCTTATTTTGTGTTATATCTCTCATGAGATAAAACAGTGGCGGAACCGCTAACTATTAATACTGACATTTGACAGTTCACTAAATATTATTATTTGTTGATTGAATTCAAGTTTTGTCATTACCTTACAAATAGATTTTTAATATTTTTTTTGGTCAACAGTAACAGCAAGTTATCAAAATATAATACTTTAACTATTGTCAAGTGATTGCTTACTATAACGTATGTCTTATACAACACTTCCGCCACTAATTTCTTATTGATTTTTCTTTCCATTGTTTTTTTCCTTTCTTTAATCATAGTTTCGATATTATCTCATTTTTTAGAAATTTGTTTAACAAAAATTATCAGATGAATATTGCACTGAATAATATATATATTCTGTATATATAATGAGATTTTAATAATTATTTATTTGCTTATAATTACGTGATTATAATAACAATTATGTAAATATATTTTAATAAATTATTGAAAACTGCATTTGTACTTTACATACTATTTATTTAAATATACTATTAAAGATACAATTTCAACTTAGTTGACAAAAAAATAAAGTTAAACCAATTTATATACTATAATTTGCTATAAAAATTTGATTAATTTCTCACAAATTCTGTAAATAAATATAAAAACTTTACTTGAGGCGTATTTTAAATAATAAAATATGTTTTATTTGATTTTTAATTAGTTTGAAAAAGTCAAGCAAATAAAAAGATTGAGATTTTTTTAAAAATTAAATAAAATTCATGCGATTTCCAGTTAATCAATCAAATGCATTGAAATAGTAACTTATAACTCACTCTACACTATCTTCTCTATTATTTAATACAATTTTTAATTCATTTTCATGTATTCAATCATTTAAATAATGTATAACATATATAGTACAATATACAGTACTGTATATGCTATAAATTGTTTATACTGTATATGCAATGCATCAACAAAATATTTTTTTATTAAATTTTAATATATGAATATAATTTTTCTAATAAATAATTTATGAAGTAAATACTTAAATGCATAACAATTAATTAAATTCGTTGTAAAACTTGATTTTATGGCCAATTTAAGTAAACACAAAATATTGAGTACAATGTATATAATTTATATTAATTTGTTTGCCAATTAGTTTGTTGTATTGATATTGTTTATTGTAATGGATGAAACCGTTAGATAAATAAAAATTTTGGTTTTATTTATTTTATTGATATTTATGGTATAATATATTTTACGCTTAATTGTTAGACAAAAAATAAAAAGTTCACTAATTTTCTACATCTTAAATAAATATTAGTTTAAACATATACTATACTTAAACATGTCTATGACTTTATGTCTCTGACACCCACTGAGACATGAAAAAAATTAAAACAAAATAACAATTAAAGTTTTTTATTTTGTGAATTTGAAAAACATGTTATTGCTAGCAATGCTATAAATAATAAAAAATGATGATTTGACTTGTATTTTGTTTATAATATTTTTTAATTATTATTAAAATACAGTATAAAAATAGACATTAGATATTATTTGTTGATATTATAATATTAAATATTATTAAAAACCTCATTAACTAAAAGAAATGAACTTTTTTTTTAATTTATTTCACAAATCAAACATTAATACAGTATATAAAAATTTAAGAAAAATTTTATAACCTAATAAAAAAATTTGCTATTAAATATTTTTATCGTTTTTCATTCAAATTGATAATAATTTTAACAATTTATAGATTATTTATAATATGAAATTGAAAATTGATACAGATAAAATAATAATAATAATAATTTTATGTGAGCATAAATATAAATATATAGTTAATATGATATGTCTTTTTTGGATTGAATGAATGGATGCGATAATTGCAAGACATTAACGATGACCGACAGCTGCAGAAAAAAATAATTTAAAAACTTTTTTTCAAAAAGTAATGAATGTATTGAAAAAAGTAACTCCAGTTTTAGTCACAATATATTAGATGAGATGAGAGAGCAATAGAAATAGAGTTTTTTGTTTTTAAAAGCAATTCATTGGTTATGGAAATGAATGAGTGTTTTCTGAGGCCATGAAGGACTCGAAATGTCTGTCTTATCTGATTTGTCACAAAAACTGAGGAAAAATATTTCTTTTTAGAAACAAATAATTATTTTTAAAAGACACCAAAAGATTATTATCTGACAGAACTATGAAGACTGAGTACTGAGTACTGGAAAGACTGGAGAAATAAAGAGAGACCAGAGATAGAGGGAGAGGGAGTCTCTCTTACCGGTCATGGATTAGAGTGACATAAATGTGAATCTATAGTTATATCTGTCTCACATATAAATAAATACACAAACTTTTATTTTATTAGCAAATCTACACAATTTAGTGACTCTTAGCTTTTTACTAGTGATAGAGACAACACATATTTCTCTATGAATGACATTATTATCAAAAATAATTATTTCCGATTAAATGATAGCAAACTTTTTAAAATTCAGTTTCTCTAGAATTCAAGCACTTGTTTACGTGTATTAAACAACTTTTCTTAAAGAGATAAGTTGTTATGTTATATAATAAGTTTTATTTGTTTTTTTCACTATTTATTTGTAATGTACAGACTATTTTGACATAATTTTTTAGTAGCAATATATTTTGCTTAAAATATATATTTTACGTACTGTTTTGTACAGTACATTTTAAATGATAAATTAATCATTTATAGTGATATTAAATTGATATCATTTATAATGAGAATTTGTTTAAACTATAATATATACTGTATATAAACTTTATATTTAACTATTAAATTTCAGTAAAACTACTTCAAAAAATTAAGTAAACTTATAGGTATTATCAAAATTTCTTTTTGTGATTTGTTTTGCATATAATTTATATATCAATTTGTTTAAAGTATTGCCGAAAAATCTTTGAAGATTTTACCGAATAAATGCCTAAAAGTTTTTGTCGGAGAAATAAAACATAGACAACAAAATCTTAGGACTACTGTACTGTTTGTTATTTTGGGCACCGATAGTACATTACATGTTTGAGAGGTTAGAAAACTGCATTCAAATCAATGACAATACATACTCAGTTGGGGAAACAGTCGGTACAATACAGACAATGGCTTTATTTGAAACTAATCGGTCGGATAAATGACGAGAGAGAGAGAGAGAGAGAGAGAGAGAGAGAGAGAGAGAGAGTTATGTTGTAAGTATTGGTGTCCCAAATGAATGTTTTCTATGATGTGGTGCTGAATGAAGGGTCCAAAGAGAGGTGCCGTTCAATACAATCAGTTAATAATAGAACTGTTAGTCCGTCTGTTGCTTTGGGCATAACTCAGGTCAGACTAATATTGCACTTAATATAATAGTACAACAGTTTATAAAACATGAGCTCATATACTAATCAAACAATACTTGTGAAAATAAACTAAATATTAGTATATGTTTTCATTTTATTTGTTAACACAATATTTTTTAGAGTACATTGATATCTAGAGATTTGACTTTTTATCGATTGCATTGCAATGCTATGGAGCTATTCTCTCATATTTATAATATTATATTTTCTTACATATAATAGTTTTTTAAGGTTTAAATGTTTGAAACTTAAGAATTTTGTATTCAATAAGTAATCGTTAAAAAAATCGAAAAACATATTTTTCAGTCATTCTTTAGAAAGAAGAATAAGTATTAATAAGTCGTGGTTTTGGACTGAAGAATGATTGAAGAAATAGAAGAACCATCTGATAGACTGTGATACCTGTGTGACGGCCTTATGAGAGGTAGAGACCTGTGGTTAATAAGTTTGGTTTATAGGCTGCGGACCTGTCGACGCCAGAGAAGACACTTTTCACAGCAGGATTTAACCACTCGGATAGCTATTCATCAGATAAGAAGTAAAATATACTCTGCTTTCCAGTTATATACACACAGTCTCTCATTTAATATCAATTGACATAATATTTGGCATTTTGTAAACAATATATGGCTTATGTTTATTGCAAATATATGTTAATCGCTATTAATTCTTCATTTAAATTTTGACATAACATTCAAGTTAGCAGACAGTGACAGACCATTTGGCAAAACAAACAGACATTTCATAATACATTTGTGGGAATCCATTGCATTCAACACAAGAAAACTGACTTTTTTGAAGTCTTGTTCAACAAAATGCAAACAATCTCTCTGTTTGTGTAATCGATTATCTCATGACTTTAGTCTCAATCATTAATAATCAGTGAATCATTTGTATTAAATATTATACTCTAATACTTCTCTGTCTTATAGTTGTAATTGTAATGCTTTTCAATCATCTATTAATTTTTTCAGTTATTTTTTTCTTTATTTTAGCACTCATTTATCAAAAGCTATAATTATTTTTAAAGTAATGAATAAATATAATATTAAATATCATACAATGATTACTCGTATTACATGTAAAATATATGGAATAAAAAGTATTAGTTTTGAAAACATAGAATCATTGATACAATAATTGGTTTATTTTTATGTTATCACTATTTGTTGAATTTTCATCAGTTTGATTGCAAACTTTACCGATAATTATAATTTTAGTGATATTTTAGTGATACTATCACATTGAGTGCTACTCGAAGTACTTTTCAATATTGACAAATGTTTTACAATGACTGGTACTAAATAGTACTACTGTTCCTCACTATCTACTGTCCCTCCCGTTGAAAAGGGACGCTACGAGTGCCGCAAATTTGATTATAAGTTTGGCACTAATGTATCGCAAATTGAATTACTCGATAACATATACCGTATAACACAATATATAACAAAAACATAAATGTATTTATGAATAAAAGTTTTGTTCAAAACTATGATTCCCTTTCAAAGCGATTATTAAATTTTTGCCAAATATTTCACTTGTTCTCCACTATTATAGTACTTCACTACTAAATTTATAGCATACAGTATTAAACTATGTTTATATTTTTACTCCCTTTCACTTTCATTTATTGTAAAAATATTATTAAATTTAATTACAAATGTAATTTTGAATTGATTTTATTCGCTGATATTAAAACTTAATTTATAATAATGCAATTTTAAATATATATTGTGCTGTAAATACAGTATATATTTGACATATAATTTCTCCATAATACATTGAATATATGTTGAATATATTATAAATTATAAATATATGTTTAATTATTTAATGTACAGTATTATAAATTATATATCTATACTATAGATTCTATAGTATATTAATAGTATACATTTCTATAAAGTTTAAATTGTTTTAATTATAATTGTTAACATGGTTTTATATAGTTTTAGATAATAGATATAATTGAGCTTCAAAATGAGTTATAAGTAACTTAATATTTAAAATTTTATTTTTCATTAATTAAATAATAGTTATATATATATATAAAAGATAGATTTGCAATTAAATACATTTATTCAATGTTTACTATTAAAATATAATTTTAATATAATTTTGAAATAATTTTAATTTATAGATAAATAAATTTTTGAATTTTATTTTTTAAGTAAAATCTAAGTACAGTATTTGATGCAATATTAAGACAAAAATGCATATATCCGTTGCTTTACTTTCTAAAATCATTCATCACTAGTGATGTCATTATAAGTAAACGGATATACAATAGTTGTGTGCATTTGTGGTAATTGAGCGCATATTTAACTAATTGATAGAAACACAAAACTACTCAACTAATTGTCAAATGAAACTAAAACTCTAAAAACTTTATTATCTCTCTCTCTCTCTCTCTCTCTCTCTCTCTCTCTCTCTCTCTCTCTCTCTCTCTCTCTCTCTCTCTCTCTCTCTCTCTCTCTCTCTCTCTCTCTCATTGACTTAGACTGTCTCACTAGAAGACACACTCACTCACAAATCCATTCATTGACTTACGTTTCTCTCTTTTAGTTCCGCAACACTTAATCCAAGTCTTGAGAGTCACATCAATGCAAAAGACACTCATATTATGTTTTCCTGTTTTCTTAAGACATAAGACAACATTAAATTCTTTACTAATTATTAAAAATTCTTTCAAAAATATCGATTATATGAATGTATATTATATACATTGTATAACATATGTATAATCTTTTAATAATTAATATAATTAAATTGTAGTTTTTAAAATTGTGTTGTTTTTAATGAAAATAATAAACCAAATGACAAAATGGTAATACTTGTGGATTATGTCTTAAAGCAGCTGTTTATCTAAAAAATTGATTTATAAGAAATGGAAAACTTTTGGAGACTTCCTTTCAAACGATAGTGTAGACGACTGTCATCTCATTTAACTAAAACCAAATGTTATGATAGTATCGGTGCTCTATTGGCATAGTCTTCACACTTAAATCCTATGAAATTCAAAACCTCTAAATAATTGAAACATTTTTCAATTTACACATTCATTCATAAAACTTATTACTGTAGTAATTGGTATTTAAAATGATTAGTAATAAACTATTACTGTATTATGTTATATTTATAACCATCAAAATTATATACATTAATTGATTTAATGGTAATTTATATACGCTAATAGACAATTGTATTTTTTTATATTGATATTGAAATAACTGAGTTACTTATAATTTATATACAATACGGTATATGTAAATTTTTAATCATTAATAATAATAATAATTAAATCAATAAAATTTTATCAATATTTAGCAAAAATGTATTTATATATTTTATATACATTAAAGATTAATATTATGGTAATATAATTTTAAAGTCATTAAATAACAATAATTGTCATAAAATAACTAACATTATAAATTAGCATGATACAATTTGAGTTTTATTATTCATTTATGAATATTAAAATTAGTTTTTGCACTTTATAACAATTATTATTAATTATAATTTAGCAACAAATTTACATTAGTTATATATAATATTTGATTTTCTTTAAATAAAAAAATGTTATCAATTTATTTGACTAATATCAAAATCAACCATGCTCACTTTAATGATTTGTCTAATTATTATTAGACTAATATACTGTACAAGTAGTGTATAAAATATATTGACATCTATTGTATTGAAAGCCAATTACAATAAACATTACAAACGGTTATTATAATCGGCGGGTATTAAGCATTAGTTTGTTTTATTTAATATTAAAGTTATAAACTGTAGTCAAAAGTGAAAACAATAAGTCGATAGCAATGAGTAATTGAATTCATATTATATTAACTTTTAATGAATTCAACTTTAAATCAAATCAAACATAACTTTTAGTGATTACTGATTATCTTAAGAAAGTTATCGCCATTTCGGTCATCAGTGACCACCAGTTATGGCACAAAAAAGGACAATCACTGATGTGTTGGCCAATAATATAGATTTTGTCGATGAAAGCAAACAGACGAATACGTTTGGATTCAACTCAACGGACGACCTCTACAGCCGATTGACGACCAATGAGTTGATTGAATCAAAAAGTATTTGTTTGACCGATTCATTTGTCGATGACTTGTCCACAATGTTAAGCAATCATGAGTTTAGCGATTGTATCCTTCGGGTCGACGGAACCGATATTGCTGTAAATCGGGCTTTTCTGTCAGTACGCTGTCCTCACTTTAAAGCATTATTTTACGGCCAAATGAAAGAAACAAATGAATCGGTGATTGAATTGAAAGGCATAAAAGCGGAACCGTTTCAACACGTCTTGCGTTTCATATATACGGCTAGTCTTTCGCTTCACTTGTTATCAATCGATACCATTATTGATGTCTTAAGTGTAGCGCAGTATTTGTGTCTTCAAGAGTTGTGCGATCGTATTGTCCACCACTTAGTGACCACTATATCGTTGGACAACGTATTTGTTTTGCATAGTGTGGCCAATGAGTATTCATTTGCCGAACTAATTCGGGCCACAAATCTATTTATCGATCAAAATGCTGAACACATTCTTATGAATCCATCGTTTAATTTACTTTCAATCCATCATTTGATTGATATGTTTAAAAGAGACTCATTTTATGTGACAACTGAAGAGATACTTCTCGACAAAGTTTGTCATTGGTTTGAGCAAAATGAAGACCAATTGAACGAAACGACAGTTGAAATGGTATTGTCGTCAATATGTTTGCGGAATATAAGTAATGACAGATTCATATCAATCCTCACACCATATGAATTGTGTCATCAATTGTTTACTCAATTTTATGGCAAATATCGTAAAAGTTTAAGAAATACGGATAAAATGGTTCGAGGATTTGTATGTCTTAATCAAAATGTTGCCACAAATCAAATGAATGTCAAAGTAACTAAAGGTCGCTACAGATATAAGATGATCAACGAAACTAATCGATTATATTATCGCCGATCGGCCACAAGTCATACCATTAGATATAGCGGCGGTAGCGGTGAAAAGTCCATCGAAGTTGAATTGTCTAAAGTTTTCTTCATTAATCACATTGTTTTGGTACTGTTTGACGTCGGAATGCAAGGATTCAGTTATTTTATAGAAGTGTCGATCAATCGCAAGACATGGCATACAATTGTTGATTATAAACAATATTTGTGTCGTTCCTATCAATACCTGTTCTTCAAGTGTCAACCCATCAAATATATACGTATCTCTGGAACTAAATCGATGGATATGACCACCAAAATACAGAACACAACATTCGATGTCTTGCATTTCGAGTGCATGTATAGTACGGTTTGTCCACAATTGGTGGCAAAAATTGAACACAATATTATCAAACCTATTAATAAAGTTATTTGTGATATCGATAATAGTGTTAAAAATCATGACAGAAAAATACTTATAGTTAACCAAAAATATGAAAAAACAGAAACACTTAAAGACAAAGAGTATCGTCACATAGTGTTTCCATTTTATAGGGGAAGTGCTTATTGCTATACAAACAACTCACTTGTCATTCACTTAACTCAACCATTTGTTATCAATTGGATGTCATTTGAGTTTAAGAATAATTGGTGTCATTTTGTGTCCGCAGTCTTCTCTGAAAACTTTATTATTCAAACCTCTTGTGATTATGAGAATTGGCAAACAATTAATATCAAAGAAATCTTTATTAATGAAATGCGAAGAATTGTCTACTTTATCGAAGAGCAGACATTTGTTTTTGTCCGACTGTTTGCAATCAATCCATTGAATATCTCATCTTTGCCTGAACTCGACACATACAAGTGTGCATACCTTTCATACCTTTCCAAACAGCGGCAAATGAACCGTAAGAAGCTTAAGATATAACTATCTATAACTACAGTATACCGGTATACTGTATATATAAACCTATTTATGTGTTATTTTTATTATAAATATTTAAATTATTATTGTATTAAAGGTGTCGTATTAAGCAAATTAATATTACATTAAAAACATCACAATTATTTGTTATTAAAATATGTTTATTTTTTATTATATATTCAATATTATTATAATTTATTAGATGTTGTGTTGTGATTATAAAGTTAAAAATGTTATTAGAGTTGTGCTATCATTGGATTGTTTTTCAACTCTTAGAAAAGTTTTAATAAAAAATATATATATATTTGATACACAATTATTTAAATGATACATTTATATCGTACATATATAATATTTCTAATTGCAATTAAATGCATTTAATTATACATTATATTGATATCAAAAAAGATCTTACGATAAGCATCTTATTCGTCACAATAAACAACTGTTTCTTATATAGTATGGTAATACAGTGTATTATATAATATTAATATATAATTATTATATTAATTATCATACAAATGAAATTTACTATCTATGAAATTTACTTTCACTCATTATATAATTTTTTACGCGTACCAAAAAACTAACCACGTATTTGATTAAATACTTTACAATGTAGACAATTTACAGTCTAGTAATCGTGATTTACATTTTTAGGTTAATTTTTTTTAGTACATTAATTTATATTTGAATTTTTAAAAAGAAAAAGTGAATTTATATACAGGTATGAAAAGTTTAAAATTATGTAAAAATAGGCTACAGATTATACACTAATGATCAAAAAAAAAATTTTTAACTAAAGTATTAAAATAGAAAATAATTTGATAATTTAAAATTATTGGCTATTATTTTCCATAGTTAACTTCGAGACTAACACCTAAGTCATTAATATTATCACAAATTATTCTAATATTATAATAAAGATATTATTAAATTTTTATTCATTTTGAATGACTGTTACATTTTAATCAATAAATACATAATGAGTATTAATATTTAATGTATCAGTATTTAGATAAAATTATTATAGTTTATATTATTATATTTAAATTTTGTTGTAATGTTCTTAATTAATTGCAATTATCTTTAATTAATTAATTAATTATCTATGATCTTACTATTACTTATTTGGTTGTATTGTTGACCAAATATATATATAATTAGTTATCCGAGAACTGTTAGTTGTGGTGCATTGAAAGCAATGGGATTTTTAGCCCATTGAATGAATCGGTTGTTGACTCTGAAATTAGGAGTGGGAACAGCAAAGTGTTGGTTGATCTGTGCGAGTGTAGCACCGGCTGGTAATGGTTGAGCATACAATGGAAAGTGATCATAATTATCATCGTTATGCGGTATCTTAAGTTTTGGCTTATGTATGGTATGGACGTGTATTGGCTGACCATTCATATAAGCCTTCCTGAGGCCCTCGTCTAACCATTTCTTTTGATGCCAGTGTTCCTCTTCTTCGTGTTTATAATGTCTATAGTTTGCGTCTTCTAAGTCTTTACTGGAATGCATTTCTCTATCTCCGTGGTCACCGTCGGGTGCATTCTCCATATTCTTCCACCGAATTTCAATGGCGTACTGATGAGGATAATGGTTGGGATCATCATTGGACTTCAAGTCTTCCCCTTGAATTCCGTTATAGTTTTTTTCATTATCTGTTTCACTGTCATCTGGTTTGTCATCTTCGCTGTCTTGTAATAATTGGTGTTTATTGTCGTCGTTTTCATCGTTATCGTCGTTATCATCGCTAACATCTCGTTCATCATCTGATTCATGACTTTCATTATATTTATCAAAATTATTATTATTTTTACTATTACTCGGAATCATTTTGTGTCGATATTCTTCATTTTTGCTATTATTTTGTTTGTCATTCATTAAAGATGGCATAGAGTCTGGACGTCTTGTCTGTGGTTTATGTGACAATTGGTTAGCTGTTGCTGTCCTATACTTCTTGTTTTTAGTTAAGATTTTATTAAAAGTCTTATCGGGAAAGTATTTCGAAGGAATATCCACTTTGTCTGACTGTACGAATGGATTCAATACATCTGATGGATTGCCCATTGAATGCGGTGGCAAACTATCAAACAATGACAATGACTTTTGAGGAGTTCTTTCATTTTTAATATCTTTTTTAGCATTGAATTTCTGTTGAGATTGTGATGTCTTAGAATAAATTTTTAATTGTTTTTTGTCACCATTTTTATTATTTTTTGATTTATTCTTGTCGTCATTTTTCGGTGAATTTAATATTTGCTTATTTTTCTTCAATAATTGTTTTGGATGTGACGACTGGTCATGAGGTTCCTCACAGTCTTCTTCGTCGTCTTCATTTGGTTCATCATCTTCTGGTTCTGAGTCGTATTGCATTTTCAACTGATCCTTAATACTCTTCGGATAATTATCTTTAAGTTTCTTTCGTTTGTGTTTATGTCTGTGTTTGATGTGATGTCTTCTATCATCAGAATGATGTCTAAACTTACGTTTTGATGATTTTTTAGTTTTTTGAGAATCATTTGGAAGAATTCTTGAGTGAAAAACCGGATGATATGCCGGTGTTTCCATATGTGAGACAGGAGTCAAACCATAGGGTGTCCTTTTGGGCAAAATAAGTGTAACGCCATCGAAAATAGGCTGATCCCGCATATAATTGGTGGCGCCGTCAAAGTAATTGTCCAAAACATTGATATCAGTGATACCGTTGCCGCCATTACAACAGACCCGATAAATGAAGAGACAAAACAAAGTTAACGAAAACATTGACAAATCGTTGACAATATCAAGAAAGTCATGACTTTCAACACATCGACACTAAAGTTAAAGCAAACATTGACATCAACTTCTTTGATACAAACAATTGAAAGCAGCTATCAATCAATAACTTGAATTTTTTTCAATAATTTTTTTCATTCAATTTGATTGTATATCAAGTAATCAGTGCATGAACTCAATGGACTCAATGCTGATATAATTATTTAATGCATTTAATAGATTATTGGTTTGTTTTTATTGTCATTATTATGAACATCAAGTTTCAGCTAAATTTTTTTTTCAACTATTAAATTATAAATAATATAAAATAATAATAATAAATTACAAATATATGTATTTAAAAAAAATTAAAATAAACTATAGATAATAGTTTATTAATAACTTATGAGAAAACAATGTAAAAATGGGAACAAAAAGCTCTGAGTAATAGTGAACTAACGGCTTATATACTCTAAAATAGGATGATATGAGAAATTAATTTTCTTATTCAATGTATTTTCAACCATTAATTTTCGTTTTTTATTTGTTTCTTCATTAGAATCGTTGGTTATATAATCGGATTCTCTTTTGATGTATTCTTTCCCAGGATTTGGTGACAATAAACTCGAGTTCGTCTTTGACGACATGCCTAACATTAGTGGCTTAAAGTTGTCGACATTAATATCAGACAATTCGTCACCAAATGTATGCAAAAACTCTTGTGAATTTGGTTTCGGTTTATAAAATAGAGAACTGGCGTCCAAATAGTTGTATTCATTATATGGGTTGGGTTTGCCTTTATATACAGGTGTTGGATCTGCATTGGATGACACTCCTGAAGTGACGGGAACGTGAATTACTTGAACAATAGGCGCTCCGTTAACATTAGGGTTAAGCAGTGTTGTTGTTCCCGAACTTTGCTGTATCTGTGCTATTGGTCTGCTATTTGGCGATTTGTGGTCAGAACTGGTCTGATGATTATCAATGACCATATCGGGTAGGATATAGTCAATACCGCTTTGACCGAATTGCATAGTTCCCGGTTTTTGAGGTCTTTTAAATGGTTTATCTGTGAGTCCATCTGTATTTGATTGTAAGTCCATAAGTTGTTGGAAGACATTGTCGGGCGATATGTGCGACAATTGTGGCAAATGTTTGATTTGTTGCAATAAATTGATTTGGCTTTTCAATAATTCTTGCGATTGACTTATGGAGGCGTCATTAGGTAGAGAACCTCCTAATATTGACCATAAAGTGTTACTCAAAGGGGGTGAAGGCATATGTTTTTTGTTTGATGGGTTAAAATTTGATGAACTGGCTTTTGGCTTGTAGTATGTCTTTCTAGTGACGTGACACGTGCACGCAGTTGGCATACGGAATGTGTCGATATAGAAACCCTTTCCTTTTTCAAACACTAGTAGTCTCTGAAATGCATGAACCTGTGCGCACCGGGAGCTGAAGTCAGGATAAGATATATAATTGCATTTACTGTTAGGTTTGAGACATTTTTCCATTCGTACAGTTTGTGTGAACTCAGCCGCATTGACAATCACTTTCCACTCTCCCCTCTTATTTCGGGCCAATTTTGGCTTTCCGTACATCACTTCTGTTGGACAGACAAACCCTCGACTGGGATCTGGCTTTTTGTCATTACCTTCAAAGCCAGTACTCGATGTTTGCGGATCTTTATTATCGTTATTATAATAATAGTCATTATTATTATACGATTCTTCGACATCTCGAGGAATGCCGTCGACGAGCGGCGAGTTATCTCTCACTTCAGAGTACATGAGTTCAAAAATATCTCTTCGTTTATAAATTTCCTCAACAATTGCTTGCTCTGGATATTCAAAATCATCGACACATATATCAGACGTAAACTTATCACATCGCGGACTCGTATCAAATGTTTGTTTATTTTGCGATGAGGAACTTCCTGAAGACTTTGGTTCATCAGTTGATCCCGACTCATCATCTTCATTGGGTGCATCATTGTCACCATTTTCATCTGCATATTCATCATCTTCTTCATTATGCTCTCCAGGTTTATCCCCTATATCTATAGGTTTAGGAGCTGACGGTCGATAAATTGGTCGACGAATTTGACTATTTTGTATAATCGGTCGAAAGTTTCCTTCTTCAGGTTCACCAGCATTGCCAGCATTTTCTATAAATTTTAGCCAATCTTTTATACCACTTTCCTCAAAGAATGAAGGCGGCAGTAAAATAGAGTCGGGATCGTTAGGCCCGGGAAAGTTAGGCGGTGGTCGACCTATTATTGGTGGCAAAACCTGTGGCGCAATATATGGATGAATGGTCTGTGGCTGTGGTCTTGGCTGTTGTGGTGTCGAGAAAAATGGTCTAAATTTGAATTGCGGTCTTCGGAAGCGATTAATGTCAAGTCCTAACCACGAACTTAATGTTCGCGATTCACTTGCGCTCACATTTTCACCTTTTTTATTGATCTCTTCCAGCAATTGCAACAAAACAAGTGATGAATTTGTTTGATTGTTAGTCACAGTCTTATTCAGAATAAATTCACTTAAATTTTCATTATTTGAATTAAAAGTTTTATTATTATTATTATTATTATTACTAATATTCACAACATTGTCTTTGATTAGAAATTCTTTTAAAAAGTTTTGAATAAAACTTAAGTTTCTGTTATAACTGTTTAGATGATTGTTATTTTGGTCATAAAAATGAGTTTTATTTTCATAATTAAAATCAACACAAAAAATATAAGTAGTGAAATATAATACAATAAAAACAATAAAAATGTTAATTAAATAATGAATTTTATTGACAAACATATTGTATGATTGCTGAAGATGTTGTGCGCAACGGAAGGACTGGCGATCGCAAAAACTTGTGTCAACTGTTTTTAGGGGAGAGAAGTATTACAAGAACTAGAATCTGAACGAGTGATTGGGTTCTGCACTGTAGACCATGAGATTAAACAAAAGGTCAGAAAAAAATCGGCTTTTCTCAACTCAACCAAACATATCGAGTCTTTCAATTGAAAACTTGCTTTTATTTGTGTTCATAGATTGCTGTTGTAGTTGTTATTATAATAATAATAATTATTATTATTAGTCAAAAATTGTTGTTTGATGTCTCACAAGTTTCTCAATGTTAATGACCCTAAAAAATATATAATAAAAACCGTTTTCTGGAAACTTGTCTCCCATTTCTGTCTTTAGGTTAGAAAGATTTCTATTCCGGGAAACACTAGTGAAACACCAAAAAAAAATCAGTGACAACTCATTACTGTAACTGTATTGGCAATAATTACTGAACCATTTATTGAGGCAATTTGACTAATTTTTATTAAAGCGAAACAATCCATTCAATAATTCAATTATTTTAATTGCAATTTTACAATATTATTACATAATTAATGTCAAAACACAAATTTTAAAAAACTAAAAAAACGCAATGAATAGTATTTTATAAATCAAATTTAAGTGAATTCCAGAGGGCGTGAAGTAATCTCCAGAAACCGGTGTCTTTGGGCTTCGTTAGGCCGCGACGTAACCGTTCTTTCATAACAGCGATAAACTCTTTATTGCTTAACTGTCCGTCCTCTGCATCCAAACAATAAATCAATTTAAGTAATCTATGATTTATATGTTTGCGGAAATATATGCAAATTCAATGAACTCACGGTTTTCATCAAACAAAGTAAAAAGTACTTTAACTAAATGGTCTCTCAGATCTACGTGAGCTACTGTTTTGGCCACATGTTTGAGAGTATCTGTTTTGCATATATTATAGTCAATTGAATAACAAATATATTATTATATTTAATGTAAAGAATAATACAAACCCTGATCTATAGAGGCACCGGCAATATTAAAGACAGCGAGTGCTATGTCAACATCATTGATATTTTGCAAAAAATTATAAAGACTTAGATAGTCATTCAAAGTGATGCCCTCTTGACCTAAGCCTTCCTCATCACTACCGAAGCATTTTTTAACTCTTTTAATCATTTTATTTCGTTTATTCTCTGAGAGTCCCGCATAAGCTATCAAAAGGTCCGCAAATTCTGCTTCTTTTAATTTACCGGTTATTGGATTTGGCTTTTTTCGTTCAAACTATTATTTTTTAAACAACAATCAATTATTAATAATAATTTCTAAAAAATGAAGTATATTTTTTGTGCCATAAATTTATATTTGTGTAACACATATATATAAATATATACCTCAAGTGTTAACAATTCTGTCTGTAATTGCTTCTGAAAATCGAGAAACTTCTCAGTCGTTAACTTTTGTTTGAGATCTTCACCAAAAAAATATTTAGCGAGTGCTGAGCTCACACCTAATTATTAAACAGTTATGTTCTGATTAGTTAATTCTATAGTTCCTTACATTAGGTCAGATCTAATAATAATCTTTCATTTTTATTAAAATACTATTGACTCAATCGTTTTAAATATAATCCAATAAAATATTGTAGTATTTTAACAATAACTCTCATAAATTATTATTATTATTATTTCATTAATCTGATTTATATTTGATTGATATGTTTTTTAAGTCAATAAAAAATTAGATAAATAGGATACCTATAGATAATGAATGTGAAAACAATATGTTATTATATGCTGTTGTACTGACCCTTATATCCTGTTTTCGATGAAGAGCCTAACTTTTTGCCGACACTGGTTTGTGAGAGTATAGCGTTTTGGACTTTTTCAAACTCGTCAAACTCGACATCGCCGTCACCGTTGAGGTCAAACATACGGAATGCTATCTCAAAATGTCGTCGAGAAACTGTATCATTTTAATCATAATTTTTTTTATAAATAATACATTTAAAAAAATAAATACTTTTAGGTAATAATAATAATAAACAAATCCTTTACCCGATATAACGGTCAATAAAAATAGAAAATCCGAGTAATTAATGAGACCAAAGTTACTCAGTTTATAAAACATTGAATCAGCTTTAAGACCATAAGTTAACTCTCTGTTCCCCTAAAATCAGTTGTATTTCAGGTAAATTTCATACAAAATAAATATATTATTATTTGTATATCTAATATACTAATATAAAACATATGCAACAAAACACAACTACTGTGCAGGGATTCTACAAAATTAAAAAAAATTTAATTAATTTAAAAAGTTTAGTAACCAAATAAATAATAATAATAATAAATATTTTAGTTTCACTTTGTATTACTGTAATATTATATGTAATATATTTTTTTAAATTATAAATTTATTGTAAAATTACTCGAAATATTACCTACAGTATAGTTAACTTCACCCACCAGTATATTACTGTAAAACAAAGTGAGACAATCGGGTAGTGAACTAAAAAACTAATGATTTGGTAATGAAAATAACATACAAAAAACAATTGAAGCAATAAATAGCAAAAAAGCTCTAATTTTCAAAATTACTACTGTTTTGTGCAAATAGTACTAATTTAATACTATTTAAATGCAAATGAAATTAAATTAATTAAAAAAACAATTAATTAATAACTAATAAATGATATCATAATAGTGACAACAATAGTGACAAAAGCGGATAATATGCTCACAATTAGCAATACTTCAGAAAGCATAGCACTTATATCTCTGTCCTCTTCCTGTGAGTTTTTTTATTGATTTTTGATACCAAACAGTGATTTTTTTTAAAATTTATAACACAATTACAATTATGACAATGTAATTGTGTTCACAATTTTTCACATAAATAAAAACAGAAAATGTCATTATTATTATTTTAATACTATTTATAAGTAATTTTATTTTTTTAGATTATGTTGTGTACTCTATATTTCTGTTTATTTTTTAATATCCTCTAAAAATTTAGACTCAATTTAATTGTATTTTGTATTTTGCTTTTTTGTTGTGAATCTTATATATAATAAAACTAATTAAAAACCTTTGATAAGTCAATACGTTTGAATTGGTCTAATCCGAGTCCATCGGGTTGTTTGATGCCAGGAGTGAGAGCCCTCAAGAAGTCGTCGGGAGTCATGTATATCTCTGTCTCGTTTTGATCGTATATTATCTTAAGTGATGCAAAATACCTAAAAACTTTGTCTGGATTTGAATACATTCTGATTCTGTTTTCGTATTCAATAATCTTTCGGTCACGAAATCCATTCTTCTTTTTCTTCTTTGATTTTATATCTGATTGTTCGTCGATTACTTCATCGGCTGTTGACTTGTCATCAATGGTAAGCGCATCGACGCGTTTGTAGCCACAAATTTTGCGAACAAAACTCCATGTCATTTTGAGACCGGTCTCAATCGGGTCTCTGATGATTTCGGGTACATAAACGACCCAAATATTCTCGACATTGAAGACAATAATAAATAAGAGAAATATACCGACCGTTGGATACAAGAATGACACGGGAAGTGGTGCCACATTCTTCTGGTGCGCGAACTTATTGTTTTGTTTGAAAAGCCTTTTACTTACTGTTCCCACCAATGGTCGTCTCATATGACAAACATGTGGTCTACCAATACTTCGGTGATGACCACTGGTCCACAAGTTATTAGACCGAATGACCACAACATTGCTGTTAATGCAATTCTGTGACACCAATGATGACCAAATCGGCCGATATTGAGACCAGTTGTGTATTAATCGATGCGATTGTCGTTGAATTAATGTTGACAAAGACATGATTGTATTACACTGAAAACATTATTAAAATTGTGAATCAATTGTCACCACAAATGTCTTAATTATACGGAAAACAATTTCCTTTAACTTATGTAAACACTAAACACTTGTCTTCAGAGCGCATGTTTCGCAATGTTTGTCACAATAATTGTTTGTTTTATATTTAAGTTATAATACATTTGTAAAGCATTTGAATGAATACAAAATTTTTAAGAATATTCTTTGCAATTAATAATTCAATTAATTTTATTAATTATATATCAAATTATTATTTTAAGTTATATAACATCCTCTTTATAATTATTAATTTAAATACAAGTAATTTACAATCGTTAATAATTTAAATATATTAATAATAATAAAAATTTATAACTCTTTATAACAAATCATGTCTTTTTATCATTATTTGAATCTGATATCTGATTGGATGAGTTGGAGGCCTGACTTTGAGAAGCTGACTGATCAGTGACTATTGTTTCAGTGTTTGAGTCAATAATCGGTGGTTGAGTCTGTGAGAAACGCTGCAAACGTCTTTGGCGTAATATTTCTTGCGGATCGTTGGGTGCCCTCACCGGTAATGTATCGCCAGAACTGTTACTTGAAGTGGACGCGACACCTGCAGAAGTAGTTGCGGTCGCGCCTGAAGTAGAAGGCGTGTCTGATGAGACTGTTTGTGATGCAGTCATTTGATTCGTAACAGTATTGTATTGTTGTAGTTGAAGCAAAGCTGCCTCAACCAATGTCTGTACATTTCTTAAGCACCTAATTCTTGCCTCAACATTTTGTCGTTCCTGTCCCTCAAGATTTCGTAATTCTTCTAATGACAGTCGACTCAAATCTTGTGGTGGAGTCGGCATCGGTGGTGCCATAAATGGAACAAATGGAGGGAATGGGATAAATGAAGGAGCAGTTGTTGTCCTATTTGCTTGAGAACCGGCATTCGGAACATTTTGATTATTATTATTATTATTGTTATTATTTGTTTGATTATTATTATTATTATTGTTATTATTTGTTTGATTATTATTATTATTATTGTTAACATTATCATTATTGTTATTATTATTCTGATTGGCTAAGTTAGGTTGTTGTTGAGGAAAGCCAGCAGCAAATGCCTGCCAATTAGGAGGTATGAAAAATTGAGGCATTGGTGGTAATGGCTGTTGTACTCTGGGTTGTTGTTGTTGTTGTTGCTGCTGCTGTTGAGCTCTGACATTGTCTGCGCTCACATTTGGAATATTTCTGAGGACATCCATTCTACAGGTCGGACAAGTTTGTTGTCTTTGAAACCATGAACGTAGACATGATATATGAAACATGTGATTACACGGCAATTTCTTAGCGCTTCCATTTCCAGTCATTTCTTCTCTGCAAATGATACATACGTTGTCTGAAGACTGTAGATCTTCAGAAGTTGCGTCCGGATAACTATCAATTAAAATATATTAAAAATAGTTGTCCACTAAAATACATTTTTTTGTAAACATACAGTGTATTCATATTTCTTATGGCTCTTCGAGACATTATAACATCGTTTAGAGCTTTCTTAAAGGCTCTGAAAAATAATAATTTATAAAATAAATAAATTTTATTAACAATAATAATAATGAATTCATACCTCATACTCAAATACATTGGACGGATAGCAAACAGTGGGAAAGTATGGATTTTCATCATAATTGTTATAAAAGATAAATACAATATGACTTTCAAGAAACCCATCATTAGTTCTGTATATAATAGATATACGGCTTTATCTTCCCAGGGATTCTCGTTTTGAAGATCAACGAAATGTAATACATATTTCATAAGTATATTGAAGACAACGGCAAACAAAATAGCGTACTGTTTAACAAAAGACACCAACAATCAGTTACTGAAATCTGAAATGATATCTAAGACATTACCTCAAAGCCGAAAACCAATTGAACGGACGCTCCTTTTGTAAGAGTACTATAGTATGCCATATGAATAAACCAAAAGTCAAGACTTCCCAGAAGAAAGAGAAGTGCTATTAGTGGATGAGATAAGATGTCATAAATAAGATGAATGTCATAATAATAACATCTATGGCATACATATAACACGTATATGAAAAAGAAGTGATATATTAGGACTCCTTTCCATGTAATCCACTCTGTCTTCAGCCAACCAATGGAAACACTTCAAGAATAACAATAATGTGAAGAGTGCCACAAATTTTGGTGATAAGTCATCTCTGAAGACAGTAAAGGCGAGACACGTTTCAGTGACGGCATACCATGACTTCTCTATTAAATGCTATCAATAAATCAATCAAACATATGGTTACCGACAAAGTATTTGCAAAAAGTCATATAAAGTGATCATTACTTCCATCTCTGCAGTTCTTAATTGTCCAAAAAATATTTTTCGCATCAATTTTCCCATTAATAGGACGACCACAAAGGCTTGAATATATATTATCTAAGAGAAAATGTATGAAAAAATTAAGATAATTTCAAAGTATGTCTTAAATGTCAACTAACAGCCATCGATGGGTTAGATTTGGTGATGTAAACAACTGAAGGATAAAATTGTTTCTTCTGATAGAAAGCATTGCCGATGACAGTAGTGGTCAACACAGCACTCGCCATCGTTATCAACAGTGACCGCATTTCTGTTGACAACATCTCATATAATCATCGACTAAGAAGAAGAACAAGATATTGAAGAAGTGGCCAACAGTTAGACGTAAACAACAGTGAAGTCGACGACAAAAGTGTTTTGAAGTCAAACGACTCAAAGTATGTATGAATTGAATGAATGAATGATTGCTTTGAATACACTTTCAATAGATTGCAATGCATTACAAACTACAGTACAGTCAGTGTTAACCTAAAGACACGTCACTTACACTGTATTATTGAATGCAAAAGTAATACACAAATAATGACAACAATCAGTCAACAACTGATCCACAATTGTTGACAACTAGTTGTCATCACTTATCAACTCAGATGACATACATGTCATAACCTCTTAATTATCATTGTTTGAGTCCAACTGGTGGTCAATCAAGTGATCATTTGTTGATAATTTGCAGACATAATTGATTTGTCGGTTTGTTTTGATTATTGTTTGAAACCTTTGGTTAATAACAATAACTTTATTGACAACAAGTGAAGACAACTGATTGAAGAGACCATTGTGTTGGTCTTATCCATTATCACCACATAATTGGTCTCATTGTAGTGTAAAGACAATCAGGTATTTAACAGTAAATAATAACATTCTTAACATATGACTCATGCGTTTGTTATGATAACAGCCATGTCTTCGTCCGCCATCTACTTCTTGGACCTGAAGGGAAAAGTGTTGATCTCACGGAACTATAGGGGAGACGTCGATATGAATTCAATCGATAAGTTTATACCAATATTAATGGAGAGAGAAGAAGATGGTTCATTGAATCCCATTTTAAGACACAATGACATCAATTTTGCATTTATTAAATTCAATAATCTTTACATCGTTTCTGTGACCAAAAAGAATGCTAATATAGCTCTGATTTTTGCATTTCTTCATAAAATTGTTAACGTTTTGGTCGAGTATTTTAAAGAGCTTGAAGAGGAAAGTATTCGCGACAACTTTGTTCTTATATATGAACTGTTGGATGAATTAATGGATTTCGGATACCCTCAGACCACTGATGGAAAGATTCTTCAAGAATACATTACACAAGAGAGTCACAAAATGGAGGTACAGGTTAGGCCACCGATGACAGTGACCAATGCTGTCTCGTGGCGTTCAGAAGGAATCAAATATCGTAAAAATGAAGTATTTCTTGATGTCATCGAATCGGTTAATTTGTTGGCAAACGCCTCCGGAAGTGTACTTCAAAGCGAAATTGTTGGCTCAATCAAAATGAGAGTATATTTATCGGGAATGCCTGAACTGAGGTTAGGCCTTAATGACAAAGTATTGTTTGAGAGTACGGGTCGCGGCAAAAGTAAATCAGTAGAACTGGAAGACGTAAAGTTCCACCAATGCGTCCGATTATCACGATTTGAAAACGACAGGACTATATCATTCATTCCTCCCGATGGAGAGTTTGAGCTCATGTCCTATCGGCTCAACACACACGTCAAGCCTCTCATTTGGATTGAGTCTGTTATTGAAAGACATCAACATTCAAGAGTGGAATACATGATTAAAGCTAAGAGTCAATTCAAGCGTCGCTCCACAGCTAACAACGTCGAGATTATAATACCGGTTCCTCACGACGCAGACACACCTAAATTCAAGACATCAATCGGTAGCGTTAAATATACACCAGAAGTGAATTCAGTTGTTTGGAACATTAAATCATTTCCGGGAGGAAAGGAGTATCTGATGAGAGCCCACTTTGGTCTGCCATCAGTAGTCAGTGAAGAGATTGAAGGACGGCCTCCCATTCAAGTAAAGTTTGAGATCCCGTATTTCACTACTTCGGGAATACAGGTTCGCTATCTTAAGATTATTGAGAAGAGCGGTTATCAGGCGTTACCATGGGTTCGGTATATCACTCAAAATGGTGATTATCAGCTCAGAACCAATTAAATTGTTTTTAATTTATTTTAAGATTTATATAAAAATATTTTGCATTCCCAGCGAATAGTATTCAAACATTGTTATAAAATAGATTTAACGATGTATTGATGAGTAATCAATAAAAAAAAATCAAAATGTAATTATATTATAGATTTTAATTTATGTAAATTGTTTTATTGAAAGAGATTTTTATAGACAAAAGACATACAAATAATGGACTCGAAGTTTGTTGTTATGCACTGATAATATCAATCATTGATCTAAAGTATACTTAAATTAAGAACTAAAAAAAATAATTATAAAACTATTCAATGAGTTTCTTGGCCTTAAAAAATCGGCGCAAATAAAGCACCTGCCAAGTGGCCAAACCCAACAAACATAACATCGAAAATATCGACAAATACAGAACCCGATTGTTGGTCGACTCTATAGTATTGAATATAATGGTTAACATATCGTATCAAATATCAAAACATTAAATAAAACAAACCATTTGTGTCTCGCATTTCCTCTTCTCTCTTCTTCATGTATTCAAAGTCCTGAACGATAGACGACGACAGGTCTTCCAGTTTAGTCAACTCCATCTCCAAAGGCTTCAGTTTTCCTACATTTGCCAACTATTTGTCAAAAACATACACGAAATCAATCAATCATGAGATTAGTCAGCAGTTGTTGAATAACAAACCTCTTCATAACTTTTTGCTTCGACGCCGTGTTTCATCTCAAGATGAACTTCACGTTCGGGACCCGTTTGGTGACCGGTTTGCAGGTATGAGACAAAGCAGAAATCAAAGATGTCGTCTTCATCAGATGTGACGGCAAACTTTCCTTTGTCGAGACTCTCTCTCGCAAACGCCGTGTGACCTTTTGAGTCGGTCACCGCTAAGTCTGTCCTCTGTCCCGGTGCGGGCGATAACTCATACTCGCCGGTCACCAACACGTCTTTACGCATCTCTTCTTTAAGACAGCGCTTACTGTTTGGTTGTAAATGAAATCTAAGCGATTGTGTCGGCGGTAGTGATGTGAGTGTCACCACTAATAACACATAATACACAACCAATTGATGGCCACATATCCCGCACTTGAGTTTGTCATAAACTTTTCCTAACATTGTGTCCAACGATATAATCGATGGTTAAGTGAATGGCATTTAAATGACAAATAAATCACTAATACATTAGTCAAACGTTAGATGTGATGATGTGATCATTGAATTGAGTTTAACATTGCATTCAATTATTGTACGCTATTTGTGATGACGCGACACAACACACACTCACATCTAGTGAGACATCAATGCAAACATTCATTACATTTATTACAAGTTATCCAACAATTCAATAGTTTTATAAACTTTTAGTACAGTATTAATATAGTATTAAAATTGTAAATTGTTTTATATAAAGATAGTGGACATACATTTGTATTAATAATTATCTAAATAAAAATAAATTTTATTTAAATTATTTTTTTTTTAAAACATCTTAAAAACAATTGATTGAAAATAAAATTCATTTATGAAATACCAATTATAATGATATAATGTTATTCTCTAAATTTGATAATTATTTTAAAATTAATATTTATTTTAATTTTTAGTTTAAATGTTTGGATCGATGTTATGTAATGCAACACTATTTCAAATACTTAACTTTTTAATATTTTATCATTTTATAAGATAAACCATCCATTGTTTATAATTTGTTAAATTATTTAAAATTTAAATATTCACAAAAATATTTTTTTTCTATTATAATTATTGATTGTTATTAATATTAAAATTTAAAAATATTTTATAGTTTTAAAAAAATATAAATTAATTTTATTTTCTAATTACAAAAAATACAAAATATAAAGAGTATTACAATATTTTTAATCGACACAGTATTTAAACTGTTGTAACATAAATAAAATTGATAATAAGATTAATTGCTATATTATTAATTTAATAATTACATATTTTGCCACATGAATTAGTCCGAACCCTAACTGTAATAATTGTATTTAATTTTTATAAAATAAGTATTTTATGCAATTTTTTATTATGGTATTAAAAAATGTCTAAAAATAATTTCATTTAAATCTTAGAAAATAACTAAATAGTAATTATTTCGAGCCTTCTCTAAGTTTAACCATTCTTTCCGGTGTTAATACATAAGGAAACAGTTTTCGCGATATTGTCGGTAAATATTGCGAAAAATAATGCATTGCAAGCACTGGTTGTATAGCCATCCATGACTTTTCAAATGATTAAATTTAATATTAATAATAATAATAACATATATATATATATATATACTGTATGTACAGTACTTAGACAAAAATATTTTATGTAAGCTTATATCTTGTAAACCAATAGTTAGATTTTGATGAAATATTTTTTAAGATCCTCAGAATTATATCATAAAATTTTCAACAAACTATCTTGATTAGTTTTTAAATTATTTAAAAATAAGTGAAAAATTACATTTTAATTACAATTAGTAAGTTGTGTGTCCATCAGATTGACATTCGTGTTGAATCCATAAAATTATAATAAATTAGAATATGATTTAAGTTAAATCAATATTAATTCTAATGGAATTCATTTGAGTGTCAATCTGTCGGATACACAAAAAATTAATTGTAATTTGCATTTATTTTTTATAATTTAAAACTACTCAAAGATAATGTGTTAAAAAATTTATGACACATTTTTGTGTAGTTTTACTTTAAATTAAAGAATATATCTTTAAAATCTAATTATTGGTTTACAAGATATAAGGTTGCATAGCTCTTAAATTATATAACTTTTTAAATTTGTTGAAAATTACTATTATAATTAAGTTATTAAAATTTTTTTAATTTTAAATTTATAAATAACTACCAATAACAAAAAAACCATATCTTAATATGTTAAGTAAATCTTAAGATATTTCCTCTTAAAATTTTTAAAGTAATTTTGTCTGAGTATTGTATATATATATATATATATATATAAAATGTATCATAAGATTTAATTTAAATCAAAACTGAACACAAACTTCGTCTAAATTGTTGACGAGTGCTGTAGCCATGAGATGAGCGCATCGGGAGGCAGTCATCCGCTTATTATCAATTGAATGGGTTTGTTCTGTGCTTTTACCGATCTTATCGGTGAAAGCGGCCTCTAATACACGTGAAAACACAGGTCCCGGACAAACCATTGTTACGGATATGCCTTTCATTTTAGATTCAATTCTTAAGCATTCAAAGTAACCCTTTGTGTAAATTTATATAACATTTATATAATTTTTTAAAAGTTAAATATTAAACTATAAAAAATAACTCACATGTAAAGCATGTTTAGATGCCGTATAGGAGGCAGAGTTGGGTACACCTAAATACCGGCAGATCATAAAAAATAATTTTTTGTAATTAAATTCAATTACTGGTAACTATCAAACTTACCCAACTTTCCTGCCGTACTTGAAGTGACCATAAAATGTCCTTTAATTTTATTTTGTAAGAAATATCTCAAAACAATTCGCGATAAATTTATGAGTCCGAAGACATTAATTTCAAATAACTCTTTGTCCACTTCAATATCAATGTCTTCAAATAAAGCTCTTTGACTGCGACCAGCATTTGCCACAAGAATATCAAGCTTTTGAATAAATAGTAATAAATAAATTAAAAATATTAAAAAATGATTCGCTGAGAGATGTGATCAAAAGGAGTGACAATACTTTCTTAAAATGAGAGACAACTGAATTGAAATATTTTTGGTGATCCGATAGGTTTTTCATATCAAAACATAAAATTAATACATCTGTGTCTTGCAATTGACCGCAATCTATAAATAGAGAGACAATCTATGAAAATAACAACTTTTTTATCAAATGTATGTCAAGACTAACGAATGCATTTTTGTTTGACTTCTTCGAGTCGGTTCCTATTCGTACCGGAGATGACTAGTTTGACGCCATTTGCCGCTAGAATATAAGCCAAGGCTTCTCCGATACCACTCGAGGCACCGGTAATCCAAACTACTTTTCCTCTCAGATCACCTAATAATTACAAATTTATTATTTTATTTTAATAACTAAATAATTGACTCTTACTTATAGGTCGTCCAAACTTTTCGGCCCATAAGACCTGCAAATCACAGTCTAGTTTTGAGAAAAGCCATAAAAATGTGATTACAATTGCGATAAATGCCGTCACAAAAGTTAACATTTTTTAGTTACTGTAATATATTATTATAATACTATTTATAACAAAATTATGTATAGTTTTGCCAAACAATTAATCTTAAAAAATTTTTAATTAATAAAATATATAAAAATTGAATATTCATCGAATGATTTTAAATTTAACATATATTTTGTTTGTAACTAAAATTAATCTAAACTTTTATCAAAATCATGCAATCATATCATTTAATGTTTAATGAAATCAATTAAATTATGTGTTTATTATTTTATCAAAATAAACATGCTAAATTTTATATATTCATAATATTGATAAATACTGTATAATTTACTTTATATCAATTACGTAATAATAAAATTATTTTGTTTTATTTTAGTTAAAAAGTTCAAATGTACCGGTAATATAAAAATACTGTATTTTTGAATGTTATAAATACAGTATAATATACAATATTTCTACCAACACTTTATACGAATTTTCTACTAAATTTATTTCTATTTATGAAAATAAATATTCATTAATATAAAATATTAAATATTTGTACATATATTTTAAAACTATTTATGTTTTACCGTAAAATCGTGTTTTTCCCATATGGAATTCAAAAAAAATAACATTTTAACATTAACATTTTTTTCACGGTAAAAAACTCGCATTTTTTGCACAAAACAGTAAATTATTAAATTTATAGAAAGTAAAAACTATATTTTTCATATGGTATAAAACTCGACATTATTCCCATGACTTAGACATTTCCATATGGGAGAAAAACCCGATTTTACGGTATGTAATTTATTGTATTGTACAATACTGGTACTACAGTATACTATATAAACAAATTTAATAACTTAATTTTAATTTTATTATTTATTAAACATAATTAATATTCATTAAAATTAAAGTTCAATAATTTATTATTATATAATAACTATTTATACTTTAATTCTTTATAATAACAGCTAATATTCATAATTATTATAAATGTCGTCAAATATTTCTTTACATTTGAATTTAGCCCTAAGTTTTGAGGATAACATGAAAAGACCGGATATTTTCCTATGAAGTGAATATATTTCTTCTGGCGGTGGAGTCAAACGATATTTAAGAAGAACAGGCATTAAGTCGTGTATTCTTTTTGTTAACTTTTGGTCTCCAAAATCAAACTCTCCTTCCGTTGAAAAGGCTTCGCCTAAAATCATGATTGCATTGGTGTGTGTCCTCTCAAATACCTGTGTCTCATATCCGGTGAGAAACCCAATAGTCTTCGAGCATTCAACCACTCGTTCCCTGTCCTGATCGGCAGAAGCTTTAATGACATCCATATATTTGTTGACAAATTCTTTACTAAAATCACGAGTAGAGCCAAAGTCTAACAAATTAATAACACCAGTATTCATATCATAGTAAAAGTTAGACCAATTGGGATCTGTTTGCATGAATTTAAATTCAAAGATTTCTCGTAAACAGAGTTTCATTAGTTGTCGTGCGATACGACTTTTGACTTCTTGTGGTACAGAATCAGTTGTCTCGAGTCTATCAACAGATATTCCAGAAATCAACTCAGAAGTAAATACTTTTTTAGTGGACAACTCTTCAATAACTTTTGGTACATAAAAGCCTTCAGTGTTGAGATGTGTGGTAAGTATTTCTTTATATTTGCGTTGCATTAATGCTTCCCTAACGTAATCCACTTCCCAACTCAACTCTTTTCTCGCGTATTGCATAATATTCTCAACGAACAGACCTTCGGGTAAGAAGTTTCCAAATTTAAGAATCGATAACAAGTTTCTGATATCACTTTCAATGCCGTCAGCAACGCCTGGATATTGTATTTTGACGGCAACTTCCAGACCATTATGAAGAGTGGCTCTATGGACCTGACCTATAGATGCGGCTGCAAATGGTTTCTCATCAAAACTTTTAAACTTTGTTTGCCAATCATCGCCCAACTCTTCCTTCAAAACTTTCCTCATTTGCTTAATCGGCATAAAGTCTGCCGATTGTCTAACTCTTTCAAATATTTTTTGTAATTCAGGACTAATTAAATTGTTGTCTTGAATGCTAAGCATTTGTCCTAATTTAAGTGCCGCTCCTCTCACTCGACATAATGTGTCAACAATTCTATTGGCATTCGCTTCAGTCAACAACGGATTTGATCCTAAAATTGTTTTCTCATTATTTGCTGAAGAAGTAAAACCCAAAGTTTTTTTTGTTAGCTCTTCGAGAGCACCGAATCCAAGACCGATAGCCAAACTTCCGAATGATGCCATACGACTCACCCGATTAGCCGGCACTTTGCGCTCCTTTGATTTCTGGCTTAAAGTTTGCTGCAAATTATTATTAGGTCTCGAAGTGATATTTCCAATTGATTTATTTGTTATGATTTTAGTATTAACATCGTTGACACCATTTAATACATTTTCATCACTAGTTATACTTTTAGCCAAACTTTCATTAACTGCTGAACTTTTGGTAATATTTTCATTAAATGTCTGGTTTTCAACAGGTATTTCATGTGTTTTGCGATGAGTTTTAAAATTTATGTCATAATTATCTCCATCTGAAATAAATTTTGCTCTTCAGTTAGCATTTAGTATACAAATATTTATACAAACCATTTGTATGTTTGTTATCTTGTCTTTGAATCGGTATCTCAACTTCAAGTGATGAACTAAATGGTGACAAAACACTTGATTTCATATTATGTTTAGCAATGTATTGCATGTATTGTCGGACGCCTTCGTATATCATATAAGACCTGTCGACTACTTCGGCACTGTTTAGCCGCTAAATACAAAAAATATTATCAAATGATTGATACAATAAAAACTATAATTTATACGTTTGATCTAATTTTGCCATTTCTTGTAGACAATGGTCTAAACAAACTTTTGGTGACATTACGATTACTGTCTCTGCATCGGTGGTTAATATCGCGACGAATATCATTGAAAAAGTTTTTAAACAATAAGTCATCGACCGATCGGTTCCTGAGTCGCAAACCAATTCTTAACGATGAATCCAATTGATTCAAGAAGTGTAATAAAATACGATAATTGTTTGATGACATGTCATATGTTTTGGACAATCAGTTAAATCACTTAATATATTAATAACTAATAAATTTATCTAAATTTATAAAACATATCAATCATATGATACACTATTTAATGGACATTCAGTAGTAATGTTATGACATTTAAATGATTAAAACTCTATGACAATCACGTGATTACTATTATATACTGAAATAAAATATATTATTTATAAGTATTAATTAATTATAAGTAATAAGTAAAAAAAGTATAATAATAATAATATCATTAAAACTTTATATAAATTTATTTTTTAAAATATAATTAAAATCTAATTAATTATTTATTACATTCATTACAGTTATTTAATATTTGATAAAATAGTGAATCAATAATAACATACTTTATGAATGTTTTTTGACGATTGAGAGAGAAAAGTCAAAAACAGCCCATAACTATTTAGACTCATTTATAAAAGGCCCAACTTTACAATAAACATTAATAATGTAAATTAAACAAAATTTAACTCTATTATCAATTATTTATTTATAATAAATTTAATTTAATAGTTATTTATACTTTTGAATGAAATATTAATAAAAATGTGTTATAAATTTTGAATTAAACTATTTGTAAAAATATTTGAAATCAAATGATAGAGATTAAGAAAGTTTTTCAGTTGTTTAAGGATTAGTACTATTTTTGATAAGAGTCATCAGTTTATGGGCTGTTCTTGATTTTTCTCTCTCGATTGTCTGCACAATATTATTGACATTTGATATACAAGTGTTGATAACTTTTGGATGAAATTATTAATTGTCATCAATTAATAACCCGTCGGTGATGTCCAACAATCGTACCGTTAGTCGCAATGGTTGACGATATCCTCTTTGATTTTCTTCATATGGAAAGCGTTGATCTGTTGGCCAAAAACAGTGACAACGACTCTAATGTTTGTCATTAAAAAATATCACTCATTTGATTACAATATGATTGATGTCTTGTTTTTTTTTGTTGATATCAGGAGTTATGTGTCTCACGTCTGGAGCACATCGGCTATAATACTGGCTATCGGTTTATCGAAAGACTGACCAAAGAGTTGCAGCGATTTAAGGATGAGTTGGATGTAATGAAATTTGTTTGCAAAGAGTTTTGGTCGACAATCTTCAAGAAACAAATCGATAACTTGCGGACCAATCATATGGGAACTTATGTCTTACTCGACAATCGGTTCCGATTCATAACACATATGTCTAACTCCAAGCAATACGTGGACCAAATGCCAAAAGTTTGCTTCAAATTTTATGACTTATTATTATTAATTTAAGCAATTATTTGATAATTAATTTATGATTTAATATCTTTGATGGCAGTATTTAGCCTTTACTTGTGGTCTCATAAGAGGAGCGTTAAGTAATTTGGGAATCAATAGCATTGTGACGGCAGAGATTGTGATGCCTCCCAGTTGTCGATTTCAGATACAGATTCAAAGATCACAATAATTACATTTAACGTTACTTTAAGAAACTTTAAATTATATTGATATATCGTATTGTATTAGATTTTTTAATTTATAAATCAATTTTAATTATTTAATAATTATTGTGTGTTAGCTAGCGGTCAGTACGCGTGCGGTTCAAACAAGTGGTCAGTTAAGTGCATTGTTTTTTTAAATGTCAGAATAAGGAAAGACAACTCTAATTTTTATTTACGAAAGTGTCTTAAATAGTAACATGAGATAAGTGTTGTGACTATGTTTGGAGTGACCAATCAATTGGTAATATATCTGTAACTCTTTGATAGCAATTTTCAGTTATTATTAGTGTCTTGATTTCCAACTAAAAAAATTATTTTGTCGGTTCAACGCTTATAACTGGGACTTAGTATGTCCACCGAAGTTTACCAGTGGACGCTATTTCCGAAATTTTATTATAACTATAAATAACTATTTGTTGGGTTAGAAACTATAAAAACTTATAAATCACTATTTCAGTTATTTTGAAAAATATAAGCATTAAATTGTAAAATTAAGCACAAATATATGTAAAAACAAAAAGTAATAGTTTATATAAATTATATAAAATGTGTAAACTGTTTCAACTCATATTACTTTTTTAACAATAGAAATAATTAGTTTATTTATATAAATCATTTTTGTAAATATGCTGAAAACAAATGAATTATATATCAGTTGAAATATTTATAAAAAATAAATAACTATTTCAATAACTATTTGGCTTTTTTAGCAACTATATACAACTATTTAATAGAGTATAAAAAATTATTAATCAATACACTAGTTATTATGCAAAACCATTGATAAAAACCACTCCTTTTCTATTAAAAGACATCATATATGGTATGTCACAACTTATGAAAGTTATAACATTTTTATAGTTAAAATTACTACAATATTATTGCTTAAATTATCCGGAATTATGTTTTATTTTGCAACAATTGCTTACCGGTATCTAATTATCTCAATTACGATTGATTTTATCATAAATTGTGATACTATTGTAGGTCACGGGCTATAATGTTAGGTAATGAAGTTGAAAGTATCTGCTTGTTTACAGTCATAGGAAGTTTAGGCCCAATAGTTATCTTAATTCAATGCTATTAAATGAGTATTTGTTTTTAGTATTTATCAATAAATATTTTATTTCTCAACATTCAACAAACGGTAATATCACTAATATAAACAATGCCGTAATTTAATTTATATTGTAATAAACAAATACATATAAATAGCACTGTATTAAAGTATTGCTGACTTTGATTAGGGTATTAAATTTAATAGGCCCATAGATACGACCTTGATTATTTTGTCAAAATGGCAATTATTAAGGCAAATGTTTACATTAGTTGTGAATCAATAATAATCATTAAATAAATTATTGAAAAATAATTTTTATTATTAATATGGGATTATATTTATAAACTCTTAAAATGTTAAATAATTAAATAATTAGTAAACAATATTGTTTTCGATGATAATAAACATAATTATGATGTTTAAGTGACAGCAAATATCAATCAATAGAAATGATGTCCGGATCTGAATTGTTTGGTCGTGTATTTTGTCTCTAATATAACAGAATATATAATCGTATTTTACAATAAATAATTTATAATAAATTGTTAATAAAAGTTTAAAACCTCTCTGTTTTCTGCAGTTTGTCTGAAAAGTCGGTCAAACGCTGAACTCATATCAATATCTAAAAAAAATGTTTTGACAATACATTAGTTTGAATAAAGTTTTATTAAAATATATGCAATAATTACTCGAATAGTTGCTAAACATTGAACTGTTTGAGTTGACGTATAGATCGGCGTAAAAATTATTTGCATTCATAACACTTGAGTAGGGATTGGCCGGTGAGGAGGTGGCAGTTGAACGACCCATTGATGTCATCGATGGGATACTTAAAGACGAGGGTAGAGTAGATCTAATTCATATATAAATAATATATTATTTTCTACTAAACTATTTGATAATATAAAATATGAACCATTTTTAATATTATTCAATTTATTATGCAATTGAATCATAAATTGTCGCAAATAGTATTACGGTATATTGTTTACTGTACGACACGTATAGTATATTTATTGAGTTAACAACTTATTATATAAATCTGATATTTTTTAATTTCAAATATTTTTACTCTAAATAGTTGACGTTTTCGAAAATATTTAATAATTTCAAATATGCATTTATACAAAAATTACTTGGAATCAAAATAATCAAATTTTATAATAATTTAATAGATAATAAAATTGTGTTTTATGGTAATTAAAATCAATGATAGATAAAATTAAAACTTGATTTAAAAATTATTTCAAATAATTTTATTTATAAACTATAAATAATTAATTAATAAATTAGCGGTAATTATATTTTAAGCAATATTCAACATTATTTGTTGTTAACTAATATCAAAATATAATTATCTAATAATTAATTTAAAATTGTATAAATCAGACAAAATAATTGAAAAACGATAAATATATCTCTTATTAATAATAATATTGACTAATATTTATAAGTTATTACAAATACAGTGCAATTAATCCAATTGAATGTAATCAAAATACCTATTGCTGTTGTGTGCGGGACTTAGTGATTGTCCATTACTTGATGGAGACGATGTATTGTGTGAAGAGAAGTACAGTGAATTAGGAGTATTGGACTTCGAGGCGATTGGCTGTAAATTACTAGAAGCAGAACTCGAGGAATCAGGTGAAGGGAGTGATTGCATGTGATTTGGTGTTCCACAGGATTCGGATCCCGATCCAGACGATAGTACAGGTGTAGAGAGTGCGGGTCGCGGTGACGAGTCTTTAATGGTTTCATCGTCGTCGTCATCACTCGAATCAATTGTAATTATATCGATCTTTGGTCGCTTTGGTTCAGTCCTTTCTTGTGCTGTTATTATACACATTTAAATTTTAAAAAAATAATAGCAAATAAAATCAAAGTAAACGACAATAGCTTACAACTCTCTCTTTTAGTAGTTTTTCTCGAACCCGATCCCAGAGTCTCACAAGTGTTTTCTTTTTTCAGTTGGACCGGAGTCCAGGAGCCATCCTCATGGAACTGGACTTCATTACAAGTAGAAGGCGCTTCTTTCATAATTTCATTAAATAGTCTATTAAAGTCAACATAATAATTAGATAAATGATTTATAAAAATAATTGAAATATTTTACCCGTCAATTGCAAGGTTAGAAAAGACGGCGGATTTATCACATACGGGACAGACCCACGTAGGCTTCTTCTCATTCATTTGTAAATACAAAAGTGCGTCAAAACACTGGACGTGAGCGCATGTAATTGCACGACAGGGTATTTGAATACGCATTTTACCCAACTATATATAAACAAAATTTAGTTATAAAAAAAGTAAAATAAATATCAATTATAGTAAATGTATGACAAACCGGACAAAGCAATGAACCCCTGAGACTCATTGTTGCGATTTCCGAGTCTTCATCGTGAGATAATTTCTCTTTAATCAACGCTCTCGTATGGTCTGCATTACGAACTCCTTTGCGTTTAATCCTATCGAGAAGTGTTTGTGACGTCAACTTTTTGACCAAAAACACTCCGACAGCGTACGGACGGTTGTAATCGGACGCCCATGAGATCGATATTTGATTCGCAACAGTAGGCGATAATTTACAAAGAGTTGTAATGCTAACTGGTCTGCTCGGCCTCTTTGGCTCAACACCCGGTTTGTTAGTTGGCAGTGGATTCTGATTAGTAAACAAAAACAATTATTTCAAAATAATAATTATATATCGTATTTAATGAAACATACGGGTAATGGACACATCTTTGAGTTGATTTTGACACAAATACTCGGAGGAAAATTATCTTCTTGTTCACAGGTGGTCTCATTCAGACAAAATCTTAGCTGAACCTGAACTGTGTAGTCGACTTTAGGTCCGGGCAAACACTCCCTAGACATGGTTACATCATTGGCCTGTTGTGGTGTTAAGTGGAATGAATAGTTACTCTCTTGAAATCGAGAGCCGGCAACAGTCGGTACTATTAACACATCAATTGTTTCTTATTAGTAAACATTGCGGTAATAATTAATAAGTTTTTTATAGAAAATAATTGATAACTTATACCCAAACTCGATGGCTTAAGAAGTTCACCCAAAATATCATAAAAAGGTAATCCTTTGAACTTAACGTCGGGATAAACAGGAAATTGAAGCGATTGCGAGCTTTGCAACGATTGGTATGACTTTGGCGGATAAGCGTCGATCCCAAGTCGTGGCATTGATCCGTAATGATCTGTCCTCGAGTTATTATTGTACAAACTCTTTGACGGTATGCCAGTACTGCTGTATTGATGATTACTACTCGATTGAGAAGTCATTTGATTGACGGAGTGGTGTCCGCCAGTAGTCGACCGTAAACTCATTGAATGGCCGTAATCGGAGTCCAATGTGTCCGAAGAATTGTTTCCCAAATAACTTAAATTATTATATCGTTGTCTATGAAGTTCTTTAATCTTGTTTTGTATGGAAGTGGTCAGTGACCGACCCTTAAGAAGTTCCAGTGCCTGGACTTGCAATTCGTTCTTTTTTCCCGATTTTTGTTTACCAGCGAAACCCAATAGCATCTGTAGTTCGGCGACACGGAAGGACATTATCATATTCTGGTCATCAAAACAAAGACAAAACAAATAAATCATTCAATTAATAAAATCATACATTAATTAAATAAATGTCATTCGTATTCATCACAAGTCATTAGACGTATCGTATGTCGACCGCCGATACAGACCCGCAACGAATTGATGACATTGTCGTCCATTTCGTGTCTCACTCTTTCATCTTATGACCGGAAAGTGTGGTCAGTCTTCAGTTACGCCTTCCATACGACTAATGCTATTTGAATGCACTCTTAAAATGGGATCAAATGTTGTGTTAAACCACTCAAACAATTGGGGACTCAATCAGTGATCAGTGACTGTTGCCATCTGTTGGCCATTTTATACGCTTCGGTAATTCAGTCAAACTTGTTATCAATTAAATAGTTGTCAAACAAACCATAAGATCTATTTCAGTGATAACAAAGTAGTCAACAATTGGTAAGACATTCATCACTTCAATTGTATGACAATATAAACACAAAATATTGATTGAAATGTGTGTTAAATATTGTGAACTAATATCGAGTGTTGTATTAAACGATCGGTTAATTAATAACTCAATTATCGGTCCAAAGATGTCTCCAAACGTTTGTTTGTGTCAAATGTCAATCAATTGATTTGTGTGTCAATTGAGTGACACAACTGCGCACTAAAACCTATTTCAATCGTAAGCCCCGCCTCTCTGTCTATACGACCCACGTATTGACACATTTGACACATTTGTCTACAATTTAATCATTTTTAATGACAATTAGGTCACTATTTCTCAATAATAATAATAATATAACAATTAATTACTAACTTTTGTTTAGTTTATTTTTGTGCAAAACTTTTCAAAATATATTTCCAAAACATGTAATTCTATATCAAATTTATTGGTAAATAACGTCATATACTTTGAGATCCCTTTTAAAAAAGTTATTATAATTTATATACAATTGTTGTGTAATCGCAAACATTTATAATAAAAAAAACTAATTAATGGAAATTCAATGCATTTATCAATTGAATTGCAAACACATATACAGTAATTGTTTAAATGACTCATAAATATGACATAAATTAATGCCAAATGAAATGTTTAAATGATTTATTAATTATAAGATATATTAAGTTATTATTAATTTGAATCAAGTGTTTGAATGTTTGTCATAACTATATATGACTTATAATCCGGTAATAACTATATGTTTAGTTTGTTAGACACGACTAACTGATGACTTGATTATTGTTGTTGTTGTCTGACAGGTGATCCCGTACTGCGATCGCATCGGTTATCCGCTAAACATCGGAACATTGGTGCGAATCAGCGGCACATCTCACCCAACGGCCCGATGGTCTGTATTATTGACAAATGATTTGAATGGTATTTATCTCATGTATTGTTGTCCACAGTTTTGCAATCAATTTTCAATGCGGACCATCAATCAACCCGCGTGACGATCTCGCGCTACACTTAAGTCCAGTCTTTACAGCCCCGCCACGAGTAGTCAGAAATTCATTGCAAGGCCAGCGATGGGGTCCTGAAGAGAGTTTCGGTGGTTTTCCGTTTATCGGTGGCCAACCATTTGAATTGTTAATATTAGTAGAAAGCGATAACTTTAAAATTGCAATCAATGGACAACATTTTACTGAATTTCGACACCGCCTACCATTAAACCGTATCAGTCATCTGTCCATTGATGGCGATGTGAGTATTGCTTCAATCATATATGAGTTGACACAACCAACATACGCACCTCCGTCTGCACCGATTGCGCCCATACCTCCATATCCTGCCGGTGGAAGCGGACATTATGTTCCTCCACCAGTACCTGGATATGCTACGGGATATCCGCCACAATCTTCATATCCACCTAATCCTCCAGTTTATCCAACTGGTGGTTATCCAACTGGTGGTTATCCAACAGCCGGTTATCCAACTGCTGGTTATCCAACAGCTGGTTATGCACCACAAGGATATCCGGTTTGGTTTATATAAAATTGTTAAAAAAATTTCGTTAATTTTAAAAGTAATTATAATTTTTATAGCATTCTCCTAACAATCCAAATAAAGGCATATTAGGTGGATTAGGAGGTGCTTTGGGTGGTTTGACTGCCGGTGCTGCTGCATCTTCTATTGGATCAGCAATCCTTGGTAAAGGTAAACATCACGGCATCGGCGGACATCATTCGAAGCATTCAAGCCCTATACCAATTGCAGGATTGGCTGCTGGTGCCGGTGCTGCTGCACTGGGAGCTGCTGTTCTTACAGGACATCATCCCGTATGCATTATAATTAGTTAAATTGATTTTTTTTAATTACGAATTATTTTTTAAATATATATATATACTATAGTTTAAAAAGGCAAAGAAAATGTTTAAACACAAAGGTTTTAAACATAAATGGCATAAACCAAAGTTTGGGAAATGGAAACACAAGGGTTGGAGCAGTGGTAGCAGTTCTAGTGAATGATTAACAATTAAATTAACAATTGTTAGTTTAAATATATTTATCGGTAATTTATAGCACATTACCATAAGTTGCAAACATATATCGGTAAACTGATGCTTACAATAATGTGTGTTATTTAATTTATGTGACATCAAAACAATAGGATTAAGATTTCCACAATATATCAATAGATATAAATAATAATTTTTTAAAGTCTCATTTAAATGAATGCTGTATTAGATACATAAACAACAAATCTATGTTCTAAAAGATTTATTGACAATAATTTTTATTGAAATTGATTTATTGAATATCATAAATGCTTATTACTATATTAACGCTTATACTAATCTTTAAAGTAAACTACAGTATATTATAGGCATTGATCATAATAAACAGTATAATAATCTCATTTTTTGTTTTGTTTATATTGTTATATACCGTATATTATATGAGAATAACAACGACTTTAAACAAAATGTCTTTTTTAATATTTATAAATTTTGTTATTTTATTACAAATTTATTACCAGTAAATTTAATTTTTATTAAAAAAATAACTGGTATATTTTAAAATACAAGATTTACTATCAAACTTACCTTAACTGGTATTAAATAAAATTAATATATTGTTTTTTACAATTTTTAACAATTTAATATTTCCTGTACTTATTTTTAAATGATCTGCTGTTAACTAATAAATTAAACATGAAATAAATATTTTATAAGTATCGGTAATTAAAAATTTTATAAGTAATTTAGAAATAAATAAATAAATGCATTGAATTAGAAATTGCAAAATTAATTAATTTTAATAACAAAATTAAATTATTAATATAAAAATAAGAAAATATTTACAAAATAAACTAACATTTTTTGTGGCACTTATTTAAAATATATAATTAAATTATAATAAAATTTATTGCATTACTTAATGAACTCATTGATTGTATTAATTTCAATGCTCCACAATATCTCAATTTTTTTTATAAACCTCTCTCTCAGTAATTTTGTCGACTCTCGGAGCGAAACATTTTTATAACTTTATATATTTTGTTTGCAATTTTGCCCGATATATGACTATTAAAAATAGATTTTATTTTATGGACCATCAAGTGGTCAACTGGTGTTCGGCCCAAATCCTATCGATAAAGTCTGCGGTCTTATTGCGAAATTCATGACCAGGTGTTTGTTGATTGTGATACTGTTCCCAAACATAATTGTTCTGTAGGTTAGGATATTCAATGTGCCAACTCGTCGGCCGATTATTATTGATAGTAAGTTTAGGTATGTGTATCTCTGACTCTATTTTTCTGGACGGCATAATTGAGATGTGTTTATAGGGAATGTCGGCGCTTATGTCAGAACTACAAGAATATCGTCTAATATCTCGAGCAGTACTGATGTGTCGTTGACCAGAGCCGGGAACTGTCTTTGGAACCATCATTAGTGATCTGTCATTGAATAAGGCCGTAATGAGTGGTAAATTCATGTCTCGACTCTTTTGTCTGAGTTGTTGTAAATCAGAAATTGATCCGTTCTTCTCGTCATTGTATGTCTTGGAGTCGAGTCTTCCATTTGCTGTAATTAAGGAGTTCTTCAGGGAATTGAAAACAAAATAAAATTAATGAAAAACGTATTTAAATTTGTAAATTGTATTAATAACTAACCCTTTTCTGACTAGTGATAAATTGTGAATCAATATAATTATTATTAATAGATCTTAAATATTGGATCTCATTGAATGAGTTGGCGTATTGTGGCGGTGGAGGAGGTATTAGTAATGACTTTACTTTAGATTCAGTATTATTATTAACATTGATATCACTTGCAAACAGTCTTAAAGGATGATTTGATGTCATAGAGATGTTATTCAGAGACTGATGAAAGGATGGCTGAACTGATAATTCATTGTTGCAATCAATTAAATGTTTTGTAACGGGAAAACAATTTTGATTGTTGTTGACTGTGGGGACAGTAGTATATTGGGCACTGGAGTCGGAGTGAGCTCTACTATCTCGAAGTAATTTTCTGGCCAATTGAATATTGACTCCATTGCATACATTTATGTTTAATTCTTTGTTTAAATTGTTTTGAGAGCTAATGGTTGGATTCACTTGATATTTGTTGGTTTCTTCATTGACAAACAATTTGGTTCTGTTTGGTAGATATGTTGGTGATGTTGTCCAAAGTGGTGATGTATGAAGATTGGGTTCGGATGCAGCAATTGGTTGTGCTTTTGGTGTTGAATGAGAGTCAGGTGTAAACACCGATAGAGTCGGCTTAACGTGTGATCGAGTGAGAGATGAAACACCGATTCTTGTGGTTGTTCTTTGAGTTGGTGTTGTTGTGGTTGAAGTTAGTGTAGAGCTTAGCGAAGGACAGGCTCTCAATGCTAACTTTGGTTTAATATCTTGATTTTGAAATTGTGAAAAATATGGTATATTTTCATAGATATGGTTCATTGATTCGGCTCTTTCAGTTAATTTGGACAGATTTACCGATCGCACCGTTAGATCGGGTTTTTGTGTAATTCTGGTATTGTTTTCAATATTTGTTGAATATATCAACTCATGACTAGTTGATGAAGTGTTTGGTTTAAGTGGTATTATATCACTTGTTTGACTCTCATTGTGACAAAAATCATATAAATGGTTGTTATTATTGCCAATTATGTTAATTATCTGTCTATTTGTGGTAACGAGAGGAACAATAGATTTGATGGTTGTATTACTTTGTTCAGATGAAGTACTTTTAATACTGTTAGCACTGGAAGGCACTCCGTTATCACTGTTTTTTTGTTTGTTTTGTTGATTATGATTGCAATTCATAGTAATATTGCTGATAGAGTTAGACTGTTTGTCTTCAAGATTTGTCGACGATCTTCGTATTGAGTTATCTATGGGTTCACTCAAAGCTAGAGATTCAAGTGATACTACCGGCGCTGAGTTTATCATTATCTCAATATCAATGTCTTCTCTATCACTGTCTTCAATACTTTGCACTTTATCCGATACAATACCAGATGTAGTATTAGATGAAGCATTGCTAATGACAGACACCCTTTGAGTACTGGTGTCGTCCAACACAGAACTCATACTTTTGCTATAATCGGATCCACTTTTGATTCGCGATATTAATGGCAAATCAAAACTTTGATCGTAAATATAGGACTCTCTAAATTTTTTTCTATTCATTTCTGACTCTCGTCTCTTAATTTCTTTCATTTTCAATTGAATGACGAGTTGGAACTGATGGGTGACTTTGCAGAGCCATAGCAAATGTCGGGCCGCATCTTCACTGCTGGCATAATATGTAAACTTTCTGACAGATGGACCAATTGAGCGAATCTCAAACTTTTTCTTATCGAAGTACAGTTTCCCGATGTCAGACCACGTGAAGTATGAAATGCGGGTCTTTTGTTTAGCACAGGTATGACTACTATGACTATTGGTGTGAATACTTGATATGCGTTGCTCTTCGGAGTTAATCTCGACACCAGTCGTGCAAATGCCGATCCAAACATCACTTGCTGTCGTCTTGTTCCTCATCCTATACAGGTGTAGATTATGTGGAGCATTGGCATCGGATGCCTCTTTAATATACAGAGATTGGGCTTCAAATTTTGGTATTCCCTTATGATCCCGGTGCAAATATGGTAAATGTTCTATAATGTAATCTAATCCAATCATTTCAATTACCTAATAAAAATGTAATCAAATTAATTTTAATTTTTATACAATTTTTTAAAAGTAATATTCTTAGACTAGAAATTTTTCAATAGTTTACTAATACAGCATTTAGTATATATAGTACATAAATTTAACTAATGTAGTATAAATAAAAATGCTAAATTAGCTTGATAAATTTGCTTTTTAAAATATTTATATGTACAGATATAAATATACATACAATATAATTATCATTGAAGTTATTACAAATATTTCATTATTTTACTTTAATTATATTTAAAAATTTAAAAAAAAACAATTCAAACATTAATTTTATGCAATATTTTTGTTTTGGTTTTACTAATAAATTTTATCAAATATTTCTTTAATTTTTGTTGCTATTTTGAATTTGATTTCTTGAATCTCAATAAAGCTTTAATTTATTTTACTGATTTTATTTATAAATAAATATTTCAAAATCCAGTTTTAAATATATGCATAAATTTATAAATATATTTCTATTAATTTAAACAACAAGTTTGTACTAAATTTATAAATTCAAACTATTAATTCATATTGGATATGTCGTATACTATTAATATATAAAATATATTTTAAAAACTTTTTAATAAAATATATATACTATAAATTTATGCAGAAAAATATGCAAAACACATAATAATTGGTAACAAACATATAGGGAATGAGACTCATAGGCAATGAAAATATAGCGCAAAATATTATGTATTTTTTGAAGGGCAGGGATGGGAAATAAATAGAGAAGTGGTGGATAGTATTTTTAATATATATAGTATAAAGGTATCATATAAATAGATTAGTCTATATACTGGTGTGCAATGCCTTACCCATGAAGCGAAATATAGCTGAGGGTTAAAATATTGGCCGACGTGTAGCTCAGGATTGAAATTACCGAAATCTGCCTGAAGGGCATACGATGCCAACATAAAAGCCCTCTCCTCGCAAAGGGCCTGACCATAATTGACTACATTCTCCCTTTTTATTATAAAAACGACCAAAAATTAGTATACGTCAACCCGGGGCCTATTATTTTTTTTTGTTTCAATACCATACCTTAGTTGTAGATAATAGAGAAGTTTCGCTACTTTATCACTTTAGACATAGAAAAAAATAAAAAATGTTTTCTATTAATGCAATTTCATCTTTAAGATTATACAAAAACATTTATATAAAATTATAGATCAAAACAGATGAGAATAAGAAATAAAACAACAAAAAACACAAATTATATATAAAAACACAATTATTTGATATATCATATAAACAATAATTAAAGATAAGGTGTGCGGTGTCTCACTTGCACTCACCTAATGAACAGATAAGAGTCGACATAAAACTGTACTCTCATATGAATTGAAAATAATGGTTTGCCGGTGTTGTCGACCCCCTAAATAAAATAACAACAAAAAAGACAGTCATTTAGTAAAAGTGTCTTCACTTTTCTACTATAAAATGAGTTATTATTTAGATGTGTGTGTAATTAAAGTGAGACAAATCTCGTAATCAAATATAAAATGAGTTAAATAAATGAAGAGTTCATTGAATTTACATTATTTTGTAGTTTCCACTGTTTGGACGCATATTTGCACAGCTTTTGTGTGGTATCCAGAAATAAATATGAATCTAACAAAAAATAAATAAATAAAACAAAAATTATATACGATATATATAAATATATATATTAAATATACTATATATGAATATAATGATAAATATATAATTTAGATTTGAATAAAATTTGAAAAAAATTAAAAAAATATATAATAAAAATAATATCACATCTTTAAAAAACTGGATATTATAAGAGACACTGTTATTAAAATTATGTGGCAATAACTTTCACAAATGCATACCATTTATATCTCAAAAAGTAAAATGCATTTTCAGAGAAAAGACTCATCGTTATTAATATTCATGACTTTAATATTAGAAGTAAAGTAAAGTATTTTTTATAATAAGTTAGAGTCTGTTATTTTGTTAGTTTGTTTTCCAGCAAAAAAAATATATCATTAGTTGGCTATAAATGATAAATTAATGACAAAATGACTGACCCGTTCTGATTGCGAGACCAAAGAGCTCTGTTTGACATAAACTCAGGTATTTGCAGATCTGTCCAAACAATTCACTGACTCTGCTTTTAAGCTGAAAATGTATAAAAAATATATTATTTTTAGTAAATATATGTTGTTTTATATTAACAGTTTTTTTTTATAAATTAGTCACTAACGATAAAATAGTATACAATTTATATGCAATTTTAAGAGTAATTTATAAATGTTATATATATATAGGAATAGAAATATATATATATATAAATATGAAATAATATTATAAATACCTCGACAACAAAATAGAGGGTCTCATCAGTTAACAAGTTTACGGCCACAAACTTCTTGCCCGTCGGTAATTGTGAATCACATGTCGAGTATACGTTACGCCTCATTGTCTCGGATTTCACGTTTGACTGAATAAATCATAAAAGAAAAATAGATGACAAACACATTAATATCTCTCGTTGATTATGACTATTGATTTGTTTGCCAAAACTTTTTTGCTAAGTTTTTTTTGTAGATGTTATTTGCTATGGCTTTTTAAACACCAACAACAATACTATAGTTTGAAAATTATTTTTTCACTTAATTTTTTCTTCCATTCAATATTTCATTTACTTTAAAAAACTTTTTTTAAAGCAAAAAGTTTACGCCCAAAAAACTTAAGCATAAAAAATAAGGCAACACTAAATAAAATAAAAAACAGTTGTTTGTAATGATTAATATAGTAAATATGCGATCTCATAACATAGTAGTGTTGAATGTTTTATATAATATATTTTTAACGATAAAATACCAAATAATAAACATGTGCTATTTGTTGAAAAATTGTTTTCAAATTAACTCATATCATTTTACATACAAATAATATACAATATTTTGTATTGTAATTAAAATAAAAAAAATATATTTTCTCGCTTTTATTGATTATTATTATTCGTTAGAAAAATAAATAAATAAATACAAAAACAACACTTTTATTGTTTCATTTCATAACACTTTAGTTATTGTGACAAATAGTTGTGATATTTTAGTAACTATGTTATAAAAATATTTGACTGATTGTTGATTGGTTTTATGCAAAATGTTAGATATCATATAATTGATAATCATTTAAATATATAAATTAATATAAAGGTATAGTTTGCTAATAGTGCATAACTTCATTAGCAAAATATTTTATCAGACAATTACTGGAATTTAAACTCACTTAAAATTGCTTTAATAATAGCACTAATAATAACTAGTAGTAGTAATGCTAATAATAAAATGTTAACAATTGTTATCAGCAAACAGTCCTAGAGTTGAATGGTCTGGAATGCAATTCCTATAGGAATGGTATGGAAAGGTAAGGTATGCCATACTATGCCATATCATTACTTATTGTATGAACTCTCGAGCAAAAAAAAGCTGTAAAATCATCCCAAACATCGGTACACATTTACATATGGCTCTTGCAAAGTGTTTAATCTTATATTTCAATAATAGCTTTAATAATATAGTAATAATAATAATAATAAACACCTCAAGAAAATATTATTTGAAAATAAGATAAATATTTGGATTCAAAACAAACAAAATTTATTTTTAAATATTTGTGTTGTTTTTATTAGTTTGAAATTCTTGATTGAACTCGTTTTCATCGATCATCTTATATCATAATATAATTAATTCTGTATTCAAATTAATATTTTAATTTATAATTTTTTCTCTTTTTAGAATAAATTATTTATATTAAAAAGAAATGATTATATTAAAAACTATTTATAATTTCCTATATTTTTTTTGCTGATTATATAAAAAATATCTAAATAAAAGTTATTAGTGTCCAACACTTTTTTTGCTAATTGTTTACTATAGTTAAGGTTAATCACGAATGAAACAAAAGACCAATTAATTTATATTTATCAATGAATTTAATTAAAAAAGATTTTTATTCAAAAAATTAATTGTAAAACTCTATTGTCGAGTGAATGCATTTTTTTGTGTGTGCAGTGAATCAACCATTTGTTAGAATTACTGGAAACGGATTCCCTTTGAATTTTTCATGAATACAATCAAATCTAAAGTGTATTAAAAAATTGTTTTCATTTTTCCGACTCCGTTAAGTGTCACGGCTTTGTGAACAGCAATGAAAAGGGAGTATTGAATTATATGTAGGCGTTATGGCTATCATATGACCATTGAAAGAGTGAGTGAGAGAGAGAGAGAGAGGACAAAAAACAGGACAGACATGTAAGGATAGGAGTCAATATAAATGTATGGATGGCATACTTCAACAAAAATATATCTACTTTTATGTTTAGTAATCATAAATATTATTTTTTTAAATTCATTCATATTTAAATAAATGAGATTTGAAAATATTTAACAACAAAAATATATAGATTTTTTTAGTAAACACGAGCAACAAATTTGTTATTTATTTGTATATGAAAACAATAAATATACATTACTGTATAGTAGAAACTTATTTAGTTATAAATTTTTGAAATAAAATATAAAAATACAGATAACATGAGCTGCAAAGTTCATGGACTCAGGTGTTAGTCAGTAATGTTTTGCCGTTAAACACGAAGCTCTGCATAAACAATGTGTTATCGCATATCATATCAATTTCCATACACTAAATCCATAGGAATTTTAATGAAATATCAAATAAATGTTAACCTATTTTTCGTATTATAAACACAACAAAAAAATAACATAAATTTCAATATTTCTAACAACTGTTATATAAATGCAATTTTATTTCCTCTTTAGACATTCTCTACAAAAATATTATATAATTAATTGAATGCAAATTTATTTATACTAAAACCTAAATACTTTTGCAATTTTTTTTTGATTTAAATTAAGATTGAAAATTCAATTACTGTACATATATAAATAATTAGAAATTGAAAATATAATCTTAATAATATTACAGCTGTAAAATAGATAAAATATTTGTTATATAAATATATTTTTGTTTGTCAGTCAATCTAAAACAACTTTTATAGATAATTAAAAATTGCTTTTGTAGTATTGTCTCTATTATTATAGAAGTTATAAAAATATTTTGAAATAAACTGATAAACAATGTATATGTTTGTAATCTCAACTAAAAAATTTTAGACAATGTTTTTTTATAACTTATTGAAATATTTTAACAAATTGCTGATAACAATCGTATAACTCATTCATTAAATAAATTGGCATTATTTGCAATACAAATGTTATATTATATTTGCCTCAATCTGTAGTCAATTGAGTGCCCGGAACTGTGCTTCAAATAAATATTTCATAAAAATAAAATAATCAGACATTAATTTTTATTTAAACATAAGTTTTCTCAGAGTTATATCATTTTAAGTACAATATATACAATATATGCAAATAATAAATATTTTTCACATTAATTTTATTTCTGCCATCAATTGCCAGTATTATAATAGTATGTTTAACCAGTGATACAACAATTGAGAGCATAAACTGTCAGTTTGTGTCAAACCATAGGATGTGAGCACAACTGTTGATCTCTTGTTTCATATATAGACTAAAACATCTGCACTTCACTATAAATAATATATATTACTCTTAAACTTTTGAAGTATTTTTGTATTATACAGTGAGTACACAATGTGAATATACAATATGTATAATTAAAATGATTTTTAACAATCTTTTGAATAGCTCATTGAATGAACATATATTTGAAAATATCGTTAGTTATCAAATAGTTTTATTAGTCTAATAGTTATTCATTTAACAATACGTTGCCATATAGACGAACGGTTTATAACAAGAGAATAATGTATAATAATATAATAAATAATATAATAATTGGTAACAAAAATATGAAACTTTCAATCTCTACTTCAACTGTTGTATTGATTAACAGTACAATTGTATCCTCCATTGAGATGCAAACACATTATTCTTTTGGTAAATATTATATATTATACATACTGTATATATATATAAATTCAAGAGTCGTTAGCTTTAGTGCCGGCACCACTAATACATTGATGGGGTACTGGAGGTCTCTCTCTCTCTCTCTCTTTCACTCATTCATCTCCTCTGCTTTTTCTGACTCTTATTGGAAATGTTAACCAAAAGTTAGTAAACATATAGTAATAGAGTATATGTTGAGGTACTACACGTTTTCTTTTTCACTCTCTGTCTAACCAATTATCGATAGTTTGCTTTTATAACTACAGTAATAGCTAAGACTAACAAAATTTTATAAGTAAATGCTTTGTATTTAGTATTGTACTCTATGTGTGCTGTATGGCATCGACTATGACCCCGGAATCTATAAGGTTAACCCATATTACCGTAAAAACTAAATATACTATTATATGGGGGTCACTTGTAATATCATTATATATAAATTACAATTTATGTAAAAACACAAACTCAAAAAATAAATAATAAATAGCCTAAAAATTTGCTACAAAATATTTTTATATTTAATGTCTTGATATAAATCATAAATTGAGTCTCTCTCTCTCTCTCTCTCTCTCTCACTCATTGCATGAGAAAATTATAATTTAGCTTTCGGTGAAATTACTAAACAAAATGTAATGTAAAAATATTTTTCTCGAGTGAATTTAATATATACAATATATATATATATATATATATCCGACAGGAAAATAAATACGTGTATATCATTGACTTTCTCGACATTAAATTGAAACTTATAGGACATTAAAATGGAAATAAAATTATTTTGATTTTTATGTTCATTTTTTGTAAGTCATCCAAAAAAGTAAAAGATTTTCCACTTTAGTTATGTCTCACCACTTGAGGGCTAATACACTCTTCATATATCTATGCATATGGTATGGTATGCTAGATATGTGTCGATTGTATAGTTGTTTGTATAGCTGAGAGTTTTTGCCAGATTTTCCCAGACATGAGACATGAAAATGAAGTATTGGTCAGAAAGTGCTTCTAATTTGATAAACACAACAAAGAGTCAGTTGGCTTATGAATGCCTGACAGTCACGACAATCAGTACTTAATTGAGACCAACATTAGACAAGACGTCAAGAGAAAGAGATTACTATTAGGCATTCAATGGTGTGAACACAATATACCATTAAATTATATAAGAAATTCAATAGTAATTACCGGTTATATAAAGTAGTACTCATTCATAAAGAATGAAAAGTTTTACTTTTTCTCAAAATTCAAATCGTATTTAAATTCAAAATCATTTTAATTTATATATAATACAGTATTTCATACTATATTTTATACCTTATATAACACATCATTTTTAATATATTACACACTTTCTTGACTCAGATTTGCATTTAACTATAATATGTATAATAAAAAGTTTTTAATATTTAACAAATCAATACAAAAAGCCTGTATTTAAAAGTAAAATAATTTATTTAAGAATTGCTTACAGGAATCC